TCATCTCGTTCTTTGGAGTTTAACAGGTTTCAGTAAAGTGTGTGACAACGATAAATTGCTTTTATGTGTGCGGTTAATATGAAAAATTCATGTACTTTGTGTGTGCGTTTGCTAGCCCGAGGATATGACCAGAATTCGGTCACAAAACAGACAGCTTCAGATTGACATTGATTGCACCTTGAAGGAGACAGACCTACTGCAGTCCAGAGGTAAAAATAGCATGAATGTAGTCATCTTTATGACATTCAATATGAAATGAACACTTGCACTGCATTATTTCATGTGATTGCACTCAACTTCAAATTGTGCTGATAACCATTTGCTTCATCCATATCTCTCTTTTTTTTAGGCAAGTTTGACGTGAGAACCATGAACAACTTTTATGATAATATTCAACCTGGCCCTGTTGTACCTCCAAGAGGTGGGAATTCAATCAGTTCTGCATCAATTTGTTTTTGTTTTTGTTTTTTGATGTAGCATTTTTAAACATTTCATTATTTCATTTTGTGGTTATTCTTTACAATAAGGTTCAGTTAGCTAATATTTGTTAAAGTGTGTATGTCAGGTTAAATTTGTAATTATGATTTAGGGGTAATACACGTTCGACAAGTTGATGTATTTTATTTGTTTTTCGATATCTAAAGGCAGAATATAAGATGAAAAAGTTCGTTATTTTCAGTACTCACTTAAAACTGCTCCTCCCCCCCAAACGAATCGCTTGACGTCATAAGAGGGAGACGTCTCCCCAGGTCGCTGAGAAAGTGAGTTTGTGAGATTTAAGTTAGGTAGCTGCTAGTTAGTTAGGTATACGCAAGCGTATTTTCACGATAGTGAATTACTGCGTTTGTGCTGGGTGCTTATTTAATATATCTTAAAAAAAAAAAAGTAACCTGACACACACTTTAATGCATTTGGTATCAAGAACATACAGTGAAAAATACTTTTAAAGCGAATCTTCTACTCTGAAATGCTTATGTCTTCAGACTCAGAATTATGTGTTTCTATGATGACACTATTAATGAGAAAATGAATTCATGTAATTTAATAACTTAGTGTATTTAGCGGGACACGGTGGTAGCTAAATAACTTTTGTATGTCTTTCATTTATTTCCTGATTATTCTTGCATTAAGACAAGTAAAGAAACTATTAAACACAGGTATTATGAAATAACTGCAAAACGACATTTTACTGCTGAAGTAGCTGCCATTTTGAATGTTTTTACATGATGTTGCAGTGGTCAGTTGGTACAAGTCGGTACAATACTCTCCAAAAATTCAGTGTTTATAAGTGAACTCTTTTTATAAGTCGGAATCTCATACTAAAGATAATTCCAACGAGGATTGGATGCGCCTTAGTCTTAATGAGTTAAAATAGTATATTAACCTAGATTAATAGATACAGTTTAAATTGTGATCATTGTTAGTACTTAAAAAAAATTAAGTGAAAAATATACAAAATTATCCCATGATTTACTCCCCTCAAGCCATCCTAGGTGTATATGACTATCTTCTTTCAGACGAACACAATCAGTTATATAAAAAAATCATTACTTTTCCAAGCTTTATAATGTTAGTGAATGGCGGTCCTTATTTTATCAAAAAGTCCAAAAAAGTGCATCCATCCGTCATAAAAGTAATCCATACAACTCCAGGGGGTTAATAAAGGCCTTCTGAAGCAAAGCGATGGGTTTTTGTAAGAAAAATATCCATATTTAAAACTTTATCTACTAAAATAACTAGCTTCCTGCAGATGGCTGTACGCAAGTCGACTTGCCAAAAGAGTAACCCTTACGCGATGTATGATGTAGCATGTGGGAGTAGCGTAAGCTTTGACGCCTCTCTCAGTTCAAACTAATAGGGCTGGGCACTTGAGTGTGAGTAAATCGTGGGGTGATTTTCATTTTTGAGTGAACTATCCGTTTAATACCTTATCCATTAACAAATATTAACCAATTGAACCAATTTTGTTCCTTTGCTATGCTAGAAAATATCCTGTAGGGTTATGCCCGAAGCCTAAATCTGAATTCGGAAAGGCAAGGGAATTGACTCTACGGGCTCCCTAAAGGGACGTGGTTAGGGTTGCTTTGGTTGTCGGTTACATTACAGTACATCATATTTCATCACGTGAAGATGGTAAGGAGAGATGACTGATAGGACGATGTTGGATGATTTGAGATCCTGAGCGTCATTGACAAATATCTTATCTTGTAAAATGTGTGGTCTGTACCTCTGCTCCCTATATACAGAGTACACATGATAGCAAATTCAAAAGTGTTTCCAATACCCCGCATATTGATAGTGGCTACCTGATGCCCGTAAATTATATACTATATAATTACCCAATTAATTGCGAGAGAACGCAAAAGCATTGAAATATATTTTTTCCTCCAATCTAATTTCTTTAGGGCAGGGTTCCTCAAATCCAGTCCTGGAGGGCCACTGCCCTGCAGAGTTTAGTTCCAACCCTAATCAAACACACCTGAACAATCTAGTCAAGGTCTGCAGTTACTAGAAAATTGCAGGTAAGTGAGTTCGATCATGGTTTTAGCTAAACACTGCAGGACAGTGGCCCTCCAAGGCTGGATTTGAGAAACCCTACTTCAGGGGCTCTGTAGAACGCGTCATTTCCTTTCCGAACATAGTATTCGGCTTCGGGCACATCCCTAATATCCTAGGTAGGTTTTTCACTAAAATATCTCATGGAATTTGTAGACTAACCTCCCTTGAGCTAAAATTAGCCCTTTGCTCTCTGAATATCCTGTCAGATTTGTCCTGACCTCTGACTACACCAGTGGAGTGGAGGCTATTAGATTGCTTGTTATGATATAGTGTTTCTTGCACCCTCGTTCTATTTTCATCACTCTTTTGTTGCTATGCGGGGCCAGTGGCCCAAATTGTCAGTGGGTGTGGCAGAATGCTTTCTCAAGCCCTTAAATTTAGCTCACAGCAGCAATAAATAAGTGTTTGTATGCTGTTTCATAATGTTTTGTCTCCTCTGATTAGTTAAGCCTCCGGTCGTGCAAAGGGACGAGGATTTTGAGGGCGCTCAGTGGAACTGTGAAAGCTGCACTTTTCTTAACCATCCAGCGTTGCACCGCTGCGAACAGTGCGAGATGCCGCGCAACACTTGAGCAGGCTTCACCGCGACCCTTCCCGACAGGCCATGAACCTCACTCTTACTGCTAATCTTCTGTTCTGTCATGCAACGTTCAAGTCCCGCCTATCATTTGACGATTACGATTGTCCCTTGTGCCCTCAGCTTCACCCAGCAATAACTGAGCCGTACCCCACAGAAGAAGAGACAACTACTCTAGTGAAATATTATCCAATCAGACCCACCCTGTTACCACTTGAGGAGCTTCCTGCACTTGTATTTACTTTTTTTCTACTGAACGTTGCTTTAAAAGAGGAAGTAGGGTGACTTGACATAACAGAGACAAACAAAGGGGATTGATTGATTGATCGATTTGCACTGGAGTGGACCAAGAAGGTGTTGTTTAAGAGAGGGCAGAGCTTTCCAGATGTTGCTGAGGTGTGGTTTACCAAGCTACCATTCCAAGCAGAATAAGACTGCTGAGTTTACACGAAAAAGCCCAAACAATCCTGTGCACAGGGCTTCTCTCACAAAACATTCAATGAATTGAGATAAACAGGGGCTGAATAATTTTAATGTAGACTTTACACTGTATGTGCTCACTATGAGCTCTTCTCATGAATGAAGAACACTACAAGACCTGCATATGAACCTATACCTGGTACTTTTATGCATATTATGCCACACTGTATTCTGTGTTTAAGATGTTGATTTCTTGTGCAAATGCCTCCAGTTGCTGTACTTAATAAAGGATCTGATTCTATGTTACTATATGCTGATGTCGAGATATCTCGGCTATAAACCATGAACATACCACATTTTTCTTTTTATCCGTTTATTCGGTTAGTATATAAATTAGTACAGTATGTCACAACTGCATTCTGGACTAAAAAATCCCAAAAGAAAGCATGCAATCACTCAAACACGCACTCAAATGATACATGCCCCCTCATTCAAACATCAACATGCGCACAACAGACTGACAGTGCTAAGAAATAATCCTTTAACTACCTGTATGGATACTTATGCAAAAGAAGACTAATAATCACTCTTCAGATACCAGTCAAAAACTAGTCTATATGCAAGGCTTGGTTACACCACAAGACCTAGGTTTTCTACAATGCAAAGTATCTTCTACCAAATCCCTTATAAACTGAGGGTGAGATATGCGGAAATATGTTTTCAGATGTGCACAAAGTAACCACTTGATGGTATTTCATGTGCTATGTACATGATCTGTGCTTAAAATGACATCAGTCTCAGCATTTCATCAGAAATTATGCTTTGATGCACATCTATGGATAAAGGTGTGGTCACGTTTAGAAGTGTTTGGCATGTTTAAAATAGTCATTTAGGATGCGATCAGGAATTTAGCTTGAGGCAAAAGATTTCCCCATGCAGATTTTGCAATGGGTTCAAATTTTCCACATAAAATTTGCCTATTTTGAAAGTGACTTCTCAAGATTTTGCTAATGTGACCACACCTTAAAGTGTAAGGACTTTATGACCAGGTGATCATAATATTATATACAGTATACCTATATTATACTGATTACTTCATTTTGGCTGATTAGTACTTTACTGTACTAACATCTTTCTTTTTTTCCAAATTGCATGATTTCTTTAATTTTATGTTCTTGGATGCATTCCAAGCCTTTAAAACCGTCTATCTTTCAAGTCTCAAAATGAATGTGCCTATCATGGCAGTTTAATTCTGTCAGATTTTTCTGTCTGCCTTGTTTCAGATCCCACCACAGATGGAGGTTTCTCCACTGATTACATCACAGACTGGCAGTATTCCTGTGAACATAGGTTGACAGGAATGTCAGATGCTCATGTGACGATCAGAAGTGTTAGAATAGCACGAGGAGAGCGAGGGAGAAGACAGACGGGAAAAGAATGAGAGTTTGATGAAGAGGTTTAATTGAATGATAGAGTAATCTGAGGAAAAAGAGAATGCATGTACGTATCTAACAGCTCGGTATTGCTCCGCATTTTGAGGGTCTGTGTGTTAGCGACAAGAGCAGGTTCCGAACAAACGTTCCGTGCACGAGGTGCTATCACAACAGTGAAGAGTACATTGAAGTGCATTGTGGGTGTTGTAGCATGTTTAGTAGTAATCTTCGTAGTTCTTAGGGTTCAGGCAGTAGAGAATGGCTCCTCCGAAGGAGAAGATGGTGGCTCCCCAGGCCAGACCGTAGCCCCAGTTAAACTCGTGGTATATTCTCAAACTGATGGTCTCAATGAACTTGATGGGATACAGCACCAAACAGCAGGCCTGTAGGACCACTGTGAGAAACAGAGGAGCACTGGCAATGAAATTTGCAATTATCAAAGAGACAAAAGTAGCTTAAGAACATTAAAAGTCTTCTAAATCCTCAATGGGCTTTATTCCTTGATAAGTTCCTCTACAAAGTGAGCAAGAGCCAACTTCAAAGCCATGTAAAAATCTTCTTAAAAGAGATGTGAAAATGTCTGTTTTAGATGTACCTTACAACTTTTCCCTGTGATGCGTTCATATTGAGAACAACTGATTACTGAGGCAGCTGTGTGATGTGGCTTGGAAAAAAAACTGTTTGGATGCAAATAATGCATTTGCTGTTTCCTGGACCATTAGCCGCAGCAATTGCGTCTTAGAGTCGACAACACATTTTAAATTCATAATACATGAACCCTAATTTAATGTGCGTGGAGAACAGAAATGGGAAGCCAACTTGTTAATGTCTTAAACATAAGTGTGTGTCTGTGTGTGTGTGTTTATTTCACCTGCAGCAAAGAGCATAACTGCGACCGGTCGGTAGAAGCGTCTCCTGGAGCGAATGCAGACAGACACCAGGGCCACCAGGAAGGAAAGGAGGATAAGGAAAGCTCCACCCAACAACAAAGCCAATGTGGCAATCTGCCAGTCTGCATTAAATCATTACATAAAAACACAAATAGATCAGTTTCATATCTCATTACATTGCATGCATTATATTCATATTATATAAACACATTATATCTAGCCTGGGAAAACCCAGACAACTTCCGGCAAATTTAGATTTGCTCTGAAAGTTAGTCTGGCAAAGAGCTCATTCAAGCCCATTTCTAATCCGTCGAAATCGAGGCACCAATCAGAAACGTTGGGGCGGGCTTTACACTATGACGACAGCGCTGGGATTTTGAAGCAGATTTTGTAGCCTACATTACAAAGATGGATGCCGCCGTCGAACATCACTCTTTCGAATCAGCTATCGCGTCTGTTTTAAGCGATTTGAACGTTTCCTTTTTGTTAAAAACCGAGCAAAGAACAACACTCGGAGATGTTTCTCCGCCGCTCTGCATACATCATCTCCTTCATCGCTCTGATTGGTTTTAGGTCTATCCGCGACGTCCGCTGGTGACGCCCCTCTGGAAATGATTCGTCTATGACGCTTTGCCAGACCATAACTCAGTTACAACTGAGAATGGTCTGGTTTTAACCAGGCTACATTATATCCAATGAAAGTAAATTATCATGGGATATACACCTCATTTAAACGCTAAAGAAACCTTATTTTATAGAAATAAAAAATTCTAACAATTTGGTCTGTTTCTCAAACAAAGATAATGAATGGTTTCAGAAGACTTAAATATCAACCACTTTTATGCTGTTTTTTGTCCTTTTTGAAGCTTTAAAGTTTCAGTCTTCACACTGTAATTGCATGGAAAACAGTGACTAACATAGTCTTCAGAATTTCTCTGAATTAGTTTGGAATGACATAAGGGTCTCATGTTTACATAGATAAAAATGTTTTGTGTGAAAACTGTGAATGGCCCCTTAAACTGTTCTTTTTACAGAGCCTCTAAACATGCTGAAAAGTCAATACACACATGCCTTCAGAATGGCTCACTTGGAACACTTACATCTTGGGTTTGCGTAACTGAAAGAATGAACCTCTGCGGGCAGCAGAGAGCTTATCGACAATTCTGGTGGGCTAAATGGGGCATCACGTAATGTATTCCTCCCTCCTTTTCTCTCTCCTTCAGCCCATCTTGTTTCTGCTTTTCATTCAAGCACTCTGAGACACTCAGCTAGAGTAGGGCCCAGAAATAGCGCTGAATCCTCCATGGAACGCAGGAGTGAGGGAGGGGGCAAGGAGAAAGAGTCAGAGAGGAGGTGCCTGAAACAGTATGCCTGCTTCCATATCTGACGACATGAGAGTAAATGTGTGGAATCTCACATGCACTTTAGGACAACTCCTGAGGAATCTCATTAGTTAGGCAAAAGGGAAACGCATTATAAGTAGACAATCTCTGAGGGGTGACTTGCAAAGTTTCTTTAGTTACGTGGGCTGAGGGAGTTTTTTCTTCAAACAGTCATTAAATTATTTATAACTCAATATGAAAAATTGTTCAAATTAGTTAGTAGTAAGTAACTTACATTTTAGAGACATTATTGACAATTACTTTTAATTTTTGCTCCGTCAACTAAGATAGATCCAAACAAAGCCACATTAGAATGCGTCTCTCAAGTAACAAATATGAATGGTGTTTGTGAATGATTCAGTGTTTTTGTATGAATCAGTTAAGCAAATGATTCTAAGACTCACTTGTAAGGACAGTCACTTGTTTTGAATCATGAATAAATCAGTGTTTGTGAACAAATCGGTTGAGAGAATGATTAAAGACCCACTCCGATGAAAATAATGTTTTTCTTGGTGTTAACATGTTCTTGTGGCATTTTTCTGATGTTAGAGGACATATCTTGAGAAAAATCAGCTCAAAGTTGTATTTCTGAGTATTTCTACATTCAAATGGCTGTGAATCAGTAGCAGACGCTAAAATGCCGGCTAAAATCGACTGGAGTTGTGACGTAGTAACTCCACTGGGCGTCTCCACACGCGACGTCTTGGAGTGAAATAATGATCGGTGATCGGTGATAACTTTGATTAACTTCGGATAATAATAATTAACGTGTATATAATACTGTTGCCCCACCGGTATTGGGGATGTAAGCTAGCGGGAGAGACAGAGCTGTGAATTCGGACATGCTTCTTTTGTCACATACTGTTTTTCGCCTACTGTATATACAGTAGCAGGGAAGTATGCAATTTCGAATGCAGCAGTGTTTAGGAATGAGTTGGCTGAGTGAATAATTCAATGACTCATTCATAAAGGCAGTCAATTGTTTTGAATTATGAATGAATCAGTAGACAAATTGATTGAGTGGACGATTAAATGATTCGCTCATAAAGACATTTGTTTTCAATCATGAATGTTTTTGAAATCGGGTGAATGAATGGTTCAATGACTCATAAAGTCACCTACTAGCATATCAATGTAACTTACAGAAAGGCTCACTTAAAACTTTTTTTTTTTTATTACAGCATGCTTTGTTGGTTTTTATTTAGCTTTTCAATATGGGGAATGGAGAAAAAATAACTGTTAAACAACAAAAAAGAACAAGAAGTATGTTTTATCAGTGCTACCTTACATCTAAAAAAGTTCTCATTCATTTTCTATAATTCAAGTGCAAGCAAACAATCTATTGGAACACTACGCATCATAAATAAAATCATAGTCACAGAGTGTTTGCACTGTTACACAAGTTAAACAAGAACATTACAGCAACCATTACTCATTAATTATGTAAAACGTATGATTCCTCTAAAACCTGACCAATGTCTTATTTTACTTTATAAAAGAGGCCAACAACAGCACACTATTGCATTCTGACTCTGCCATAATGATTATTTATGTATTATGTTTACAAATAAGTTTGTGAAGAATTGTTTTGAGAAGTTAGAGAAATTGCTGAAATTATATACTGTATATAAATATATATATATATATATATATATATATATACACACATATACATACATACACACACACACACATTAAAACAAAGACTATGATGATGTTTTTGTTTAGTTATCAAGTGATAAATGACTCAATTATTGAACCTGAGAAAGGCAACATTTCATAAGACCTCAATAGCTGTTTGTTTAAATGAAACCATAAAAGCACTGGATCCTCTCACAGGGTTTTGTTATTACACAGTGATATCTGTAAATAGAAACATTTTCATCAGCTTGGGGAAATGATCTATAATTTTCTCTGCTGGAAAATAATCATCTCTAGCACTAAATCATGTCAAAACATGATTTTCAGAGATGGTTGAGAGGCTCTGGGCTACTTCAGCTCCATTCCACCGTATAGTTTCGAACATAAGCAAACCCTTTTACCAAATACGGTTTATGATTTGGCATAATGTGTAATAAATATATCTGTCACCGCAGGAAGTTGGAGAGAGATGTATGAAACCAGAGCTGCTGATCTTTGCTTCTATATAAAAACAAAACTCTAACTGCTCGACCTCCAACCTCTCTGGATAGCCACCAAAAGCCTGGGAATCCTCAACAAGAGTGTCTTTCCCCTATATATCTGAGAAAAAGATTTCGACTTTATGTAACCTTGAGGTCTACGTCTGAGGGGTCTCCGGCAGAATAGAGCTTATCCAAAAACCCCTGCAGGACTACAGATGGAAATGAGGATACGAGATAAAAATCAAAACATTCATTACTATAATCTGTTTTTCAGCAACCAAGTGCCCCTTGGCAAGTTCTTTCAATCTGATACCGTGATGAGGGTAAAAAAAGAAGTCCAATGTCATAGATGAGAAACTGAATTCCGTCAATAAGACATAAGTCTCCACATTCCTCGCCATTCGCAGACAGGGAGAGAAATTGGTGTATAGTGCGGGCCACAGACTCTACATCGAACCGCTGCCTCTTCTCCAGTCGAACATAACATCCGCACAAAAAGACTCACACACTTTCACCACATTCCTGTTGTTTGCGATTATCTCTCCCCGAGAGCTTTCACAACCTCGGATTTCTGGTGCATCATGTGTGCATGTAAAAGGGAGTTTGTATATGTTAACATATCTATGTTGTTAAATTGACAGAGATAAACTAAAAAATGATGCGCTGCACTCAATGAAAGGTTAGGAAGCAAATATGCTGGTTCATAGAAGACTGGATCAGCCGGTAATTGCACAGCTAATGAGATTTAGTTTAATGCACAGTGCATGACACAGAGAAAACACAGAGGAAATGGAGTGACTGATTACAGAAAGCACAAAATCAATAATGCGCTGCAGAGGAAAGCCATTCACCCAGGCCGCTCCTTTGGTATTTTGACTGGGGCTTCATGACTTTATATGGAGTCAAACTGTGCTTTTTTTAAAAATGACGGGACAGGGTCCAGAGCCAAACAAGTTGTCATTGCAAAGCAGACCTAAAATAACATCTTAAATCTTAACTGCTTTTTGCTTTTCCGAAACTATACTATGAAAAAAATGCGCTAATGAATAACTACACTAACATATGAAATGGATATGCAGGAGGAACTGCCCCCAAACTGCAGTTTATTCGCTAACAAACCTTCACGCATGCCAGAAGGGAAGTTTCTTTTTGAGTGCAAAATGACATTTCTAGAATGCAGCACTTGTTTCCTTGGTAACTAATCTGTCCACATTAGGGCCTCTAGGGAGCTCTCCTCTCAAACTTAACCTCACTCCTTGGCCGGTGAGGAGACATTAACAAAGGCTCATTTTGTAGACAACAAAAGCAGAGTGAAACCCCAGCTGGACCACCGATTCCATCACACATTCCCACATCATCCAAAAGCCTTTCCACCAAACAAGCTGTGAATAAAATGCAGTGTGCTATTAAATGTTAAGGATCAATATCAATTAATTAATGAAGCATTCTTCACAAACATTGTCTCTAATTAATTAATCCTGGCTTGGAGGCTGGAGAGTCTTTTTTTGATAAAACAGGACGAATTCAAGGTTGTGTCCCCCCCCCCATTAGTTCAACCATTAGTTCAATCCTCAAGCTGTTTTAAACGAAGACTTATTTTTAATTACTAAATAATTAAACAGTGACTATCTTTTAAAACTTCCTATACTTATTCATTACATACTAGTAGCAACTATTAGAAATGAACTATTCATTTCTGACTAGTAATTATTGCTATTTTTCCTGGTACTTAAAAGATTTTTAATTGAACTATAAAGTAAGAAAACAGCAATTGAGACACAAAAATGTAACGAGGAACAACTGGAATATACTTGTGTTACATAAGGTATTAGTATGGGCTCTTAAAAATACGTATAGGCTAAGCTGAAATAGAGCTACACATTAATGCATTTAAAGGAGTAAACATTAAAACGACTAGTCATATCTGTTTTAACCTGACTAAGAAGAGATTTTAAAAAATCTTTTCTATACTTTTTCTATTTTCTCGGTATTTTATAAAAGCTGGTTAGCGTGAGCTGAACAATGAGTGATAATGATGCGCGAGGGAACGACGGGTCTCTTTTGTTATCTCATAAATCAAAGATGAGCCTCCAGGGTCATGATGCAGAGCTCACTAAAGTTAAAAAGACTGAACACTTTTTTGTTTTTTTCTGCATCTTGAATTATGTATCTGCAGCTCATCCTGTCTGAACAATGTCTATTGCAAAGTTGCAAAAGTAGCGCGTCTCACTCACCGGTCCCCAGCGTGCTGCTGCACCGCCAGGTCGCGGAGGCAGCGGGCTTCCAGCAAGACTCCCACAGGGACAGGTGGTACTGGTCATCTGCGGTGACCCACGCCGGACTCAGCACGGCCCCGACATCCAGGCACAGCGCGAGGAAAATACACACCAGACCCACCAACTTCAGGGGCGTCAACGCCGACACGCGCACTTCCTCCGCTCCGCTCACGGATGAGGCCATGTCGGCTGGGTGCGCGGCGATGAGGAGTGATGTTGCGCTGCGTCGCGGAGAAGCCAGGAACGATGATCCCAGACAATGTCTTTGGATCCGTATTCGCGATCAGTGTTTTGAAGATTGTGGAGCAGTTGCGCGAGAGGGACGCTGTAACAGCTGCCCTCGCGCTCCTGTGAACGCGAATGCACTGCACATTATTGAAAAATCTCGGCTGCACCTGCAGGGTCCTAGTGCCTAGGACTGGCCCGTGCCTCGTCAGAACGATTTGTTTACAAAGCGAAATGAAACGGCCCGTCCGGTTTTTGAGTCAACAATTCACTGATACGTTGAACGTACACTTTTCTTGTAAAATGTGTACCATAAATAATGTGTAAAATGTGCCAATAATCTTTGTTTTATTTACCAATTATAAAAACATTCTTTTTTTAGAATGTGGCTTCTTTATAGGCTAGCTAACATGTTTTTATGAAATGTAGGCTATAAATGTTTTCCCTTTCCCACAAAACGTTTGGATAGCATACTACATATCCATCACATGCAATCCAACGCTCAAGTAGGTCTATGTGGCAAGTACCTATACAGCAGTCAGTGTTTAATTTATGCTCTAAATTAATTGTTGAGAAATTATCTTTTTTTGTTGTTGTGTCAATATCTTTTTTTAAAAGACACATTACCCAATGTGCATGTTTGTGAGAGAACGAAAAATAAATAAAGGTGTGAGAGAAGGCAGTGACCGGACGTCTGACATTTTTCAGCGAATTCGATTCTTTCGAACAGTCCGTTCCGAACTGGTTAAAGGGACAGTTCACAAAAATATAAAAATTTTGTCATAATTTACTCACCCTCAAGTTGTTCCAAGAAGCATGTATGAGTTTTTTTCTTCTGTTGAACACAAAATAAAATATTTTGAAGAATGTTGGCAACCAGACAATAGAGGGCACTCACTGACTTCCATATAGAAAAAAAAAAATACAATATTTTTCATCTTCTAGAACTTCTTGGAGGTTTGAATGGCTGGGAGAATGAGACCATTTGACCAGGCGCACTGTGAGCCTATAGTCACTTATTGTAGGCTGCACACTTAACATTGCATTGCATTGCAACATTGCATATCTACTATTTATTATAGCTATACAGAAATGGACCATGGTGAACATATTTAGACAGTTTCTGAATAACTTTCAAAAAAGTCCAATACAAACGTTACTGTCACTCATCAACGACAGCCGTCATAGTTGCTAGGCGACAAGAGCAGTCCTTTGTAGGCTAGAACGTCCCATTTAAAAAGGATGCTGCCTTTGAATTGGCACACAGCTTGTATCTCCATCACTGAACTTATGCACATTATAACACATTTGGCCTAATTATATCTATCTTTTGTTTATCTTAACTTCTTAAAATAACACTCATTCTTACATTAAATTTGTTTAAATATTACATATTCCATTTTATTCATTACTATTGTTTATTTGAACAGTTGTTATTTAATCTTTTTTACATGACACAATTTTCCATTCTTCAAAGCTGCCAACACTTTCCTAGTAAGATTTTGTCTTGCCAATAAAGCACACTAAAAATGTAATTAAAATTATTTTTAAGAGAATAATATGGAGAAGAGTAACAAGCGATGAGTCAAAAAGCAACAGCAATAAAATGTTTCACCACACCCAATTAAGATGTAGCTATGCTACTCAATTCATGCATTCAATTTCACTTTTCTTTTCTAACAAGCCTCTGTGAAAGCTGATATAAGCCTAATCCTTACTAATTTCTTTCTGTCTCATATATCAACCAAAATAAATAATCTTGTTCTGTAATTACTCCACACGCCCCGAAACCCGCGTCAGCTGCTTTTTATGTTCATTACCAGAGCCATGGCTCTGTTCAGTTCATTCTGTCTGCTGACTGCGCATGCGCCAAATCAGGACATTGGCACTAAGCCTTACACGTTTGGGTGGAACGGGTAAACACAGTTTTTGGACATTTTATTAATCTAATTTAAAGTCGCAGCTTGTTCTATATATTACATACAAAAGACATAGTTTCGGACGCGTCGATGGTTAGATTAATTTGTGTGGTTTTTATGTAGAAAACCGTGTCGACAAGCTTCAGTCGATATCGGGCTGAATTAGCGACACAATTCCGTATGCTTGTCATGTTTTTAATGTTTCGAGGCGGCAATTTTACGTTTCGATATAGTAAAAGAACGTCGTGCTTGTCAAAACGTGCCCGTTTTTATCCGTGTGCCATTGGTTAAGTGTGTCCTATGCATGCTAGTAAGCTAACAGTCCTTGAGACATACAGAATGATTTATGTTTTTTTACATGTTTTTTTTTTTTTTTTTTTGGTGTTTATTGTAACTTAACGTATGGACGTAGTGTTTTATGTCAACATTCATCTTGAATGTTCCTGTTGTTTTGACTTTGAGATACTGAAAATGCATGAGCACAAGTGATATAAATGTGTGGTCGTTGATTAAACCTGGGTGTCTGTTCTGTCATTCTCAAGGTCCAGTTTCCCTCTCTAATAAGCTGCAGGAATCATGGGAGCTGGTGAGTCCTTCTAGTCTTTTTCGGACAGAGACTGTGATATTCTCAAGGACGCTCTTTTGTGTTTCTTAACGTTGCTAAGATATGTAGTGGGTCTGTATGCTGAGCCTGCTAGTGATAATGGATGTCACGTGAAGGACATATGTCAGTAATTTCCAATTAGTATTAATTACAGATTATCAATAGGGGTCTCAGCCTACATAGCGTCTCTAATATTTAATCCATGACTAATCTGATATTTATGGCTCACAATATAGCATCGGTTTTATTTCCCCCACTCTCAATGGTGAGAAACAGTGGGCTACTCTTTTTCAAACGTCCTGTGCCAGGGAGGAACTGGCATTTCAAAGAAATGACTTTGTCAGCCCCCCTCCTTGTTTCTGTGCTGTACGCTTATTGTTTGTATTTCCACCAGTGTTCCTGCCAGCAGATGCCGCACACTCGGTGCTGCGGAGGCTCCCGAGAGCAAACTTCTTCTTGGAGGAGATGAAACAAGGGAACATCCAGCGGGAATGCAGGGAGGAAATCTGCAATTATGAAGAAGCCAGGGAGGCATTTGAGAATGATGAGAAAACTGTGAGTTTGGGGTAGATTTGTGCTCCTCTTTTTTTGTTGTTGTTGCATGAACTTGAACACTACTTCTTAAATCATTCCGCTCTGTGGCATTTCCTCTAAGCGGGAAGTGAGCATTATCGACAGGAAAGCCTCACTGGGTTCACATTTTCTCGGGATGGCTAATTATGTGTTATTCAGATTAAGGATGTTTGGGTTGTGTGTTCTTGCAGGAGTTTACACTGTATATTCAAAATGACAGGACAATGATAAGCTGAATATGTGATTGCGTAATGTGTGCATCTGTTGAGTCCAGGGTAAGGGTGGTTGATTTGGGGGGGATCTAATTGACCGTTTTCACACTACGGGTTTCTCAGAAGCTGTAGTCGTCATAGTTGGGTAAACTTCTATAGTGGTAAATGAGAGATTACATTAAATATTTTTTTGTGTTCCCATTTGCTCAAATAACAAAAGGAAAACCCCACAATAGTTTTTCACAACTTTCAAAAAGAGTAAAAAAGAGAGAAAGACGTCAACTTTACCGTCACTCACAGCCGCTGTATTAAAAAACACCCTCACAGCAGCTTTAACTAGTTTTTTTTTTTTTTTTCATGCAAAGGTAATATAATGCAGTATAGTGTTATAAATGTACATAATTGTTTTTAAATTGAAAATATAAAAAACAGAATAAAAAAAAAAGGATTTACGATGCTGATGACCGTTAAACTTTAAAATCAAGTGACCCAATCTCACAGCACAGGTAGAGATGAGTTTGCATGGAGCGGCATTTACTGTGAACTGAGACACTGAAAACACTGGATTGTGATCCAGGAGCATACGTGCACTTATCTCTATTTAATTAAATCACAGTTTTATTTCAATCATCAGTTTTGTTTCGATTAATTGCAGCCCTAGTACAGGGTTGTGCAAAGTCCAGAATTTAATGATTGTCTCCCTTTTTAATCATGAGTTGGAATTTAAATTAAATTGGTCACAGCCCATGGGAATTTGAATTAAAATTTGAATAACAGGAAGAAGAATTGTAATTCAATGAATTTCAACACGTGATTAATTCTTGAAAATTAAGTGTTTGGTCCACAAAAGTTCATTTAAATAGATGAACTGAATACAAATTTATTTAGGTGTAATTTCAACACCTCTCTATCATTATCTCTGTCCTTTGAAACTGATAATCTTCAAAACTGTCAAATAAGGTGCTGTTTACACTAGTGCATTTTTGTTTTAACACAGCGTTTTAAAATGAAAACGATCCTCGTTCATACTGGCGTTTACACTGCGTTTCAGAAAAGATCTCCGTCCGCACTACATGACCGAAAACGCATGTCGCATGTCACATGACCATTCATGCACACTGGGCATGCGCGTAGTTTAAACAGTTGCCAATTGCTCTAATAATAGCTTGCTGCTTGCACATGTAGGCAGCTTCAGTATTTTAAAATGTGGAGTTTAACTGCACAATGGCTTCTAAAAAGGACAAGACTGTCAGGAAAGCTTGCAGTTCTGTCTCCATGTTTACATGGTCGTCGAGGCTGGTCTGTTACAGAGCCATTGAGAGAGACTGATCTGGTCTGTTATTGTCATGTTCCGGTAGCGTAATGTGGACAGCCACGCCTTTGTTTTCAAAAGTCTCCGTTTTGGTCTGATTACCCTAAGACGCAAACCCAGAGTTTTTAAACTAAATAAAACAGTGTCTGCAGCATTTCCAAAAGCCTCCATTTTTGAGGGTCCAAAACTCCAGAGGTGTGTAGACGCCAGGGTTAACCGTAGCAAAAGTTATGCGTTCTAAATCCAAAACGCACTAGTGTAAACGGGGCCTAAGCCAAGATTTACTATTAACAGACTTTATAGTTAGTTTTCTCCAGAATTACTTTTTGAATTGTCAATACAATTTATTTGTACTTCTTTATTCAAATACGAAGTGCAATTCTACATCATGTTGGCTATCTTGATTCAAATTGAGTAATTGAAGTGTAATTCAAAAGGCGTTCACAATTCAGTTCTGTATGGTGCACAGTCATTGCTTTGTGTTGTTGTGCATGGTCTTGGTTATTGGTCTGAATGACGTTGAGGGTTTTTTGTTTAGAATCCAAACAAATGGCTTTTGCTTATTATTTACATTTATGCAGACAGTGTTCTTATATTGTTTTGTTTCTTTCACCTTGTGACCCTTACAGAGGCGATTCTGGGAGGAGTACCAGCGTGAGAGCAGCCCTAGGCCTGGAGGCCTTGAGTCCATCGCTGGTGGCGTTCATTCCCTGTACCTGATCTTACCGCTGCTGCTGGTTTTGCTGCTCATTGCTGCGGTTTCCATCACAGTTTGGAGATGTCACTCACGCAAAAGATCCCAGCAAAGCCCTGCCATTGGGCGTCCACAAAGAGACACAACCCTATCTGTGGTGTCAATGGACCAGTGGGGTCGGGACTACCATCCTGACATCAGTCCTCACTCCGAGATCAGTGCCCACAGTAGCCCCGCCTACCCAGGCGCTGACCTCACACCTGGGCGGGGCAGTCGGGGTGACCCGCCCCCTTCATATGAGGAAGCTGTGGGCCATACAGATATACAGATTGAAGCAGAGCCTCCACCACAATATGAAGACATCATCAGTAACCACGGTAGCACGGTTGTCATCTCCCAGGGAAAGTGATGCATCTTCCAGGCACCAATACTGTATATTTTTTTACAACTTCAGGCTTTATTTTCAATTCCAGCACTAACAAAACTAAAGCTAAACTGCTTTAAAAAAGGAGTAGAAGTGATGTGAAGGCCAAGTATGGTAACCCATACTCTGAATTTTCCTCTGCATTTAACCCATCCAAGTTAGTGCACACACATTAGGAGCAGTGAGTAGTGAACACACACTGCTGCAGATTTCTTTTATTTCAGAAATGATTTCAGAACTCCTGACAGCTGGAATCTTGACCCAAGCCCAAATCCAATGACAAGGAAGTACTCAAACATGAACAACTCACACACATTCTTCCTAGTATGACTTACTAAGAAATGAGCTAAACATTTTTTTTTTCTTCAGTTGTGGCCTCTTATTGGACCATTTAGAACTATAATACTAAATCGTAAGATTCAGTGAAAAACAAAATTGCACAATATTTTCAGGAAGTTGTACATTTTAATGTTTACTGACATGCTATAATTTAAGGTTCATTGTAACCTTCAGAGATAAGTTTAGCTTGGGCTATCTCGGTAACCTTTGTAATTGCATAGACGCCTTTATGCACTGGACTCACAGCATCAATGAAACATTGATATTGGGTCTCTAGTTGAGGTTTTAAACACTGTGTTAGATTTAGTTAACATGTTGGAAACTGTTCAGCTGAATGGGTAACCAATTACAATGTTTGGTCAATGTTATCAGCAATGCTGTTTCAAGCAAAATTTCACAAATCCTGAATTTGTGTAGCATCATGGTTTCTGAATCAGCCTGAGTCGTCAGCGTGTGTGAAGTTTTGACTCAGATTTGCTGTAGGAAAATACAATACTGAGCTATTGTATTGTACAAGTGTGGTTTGAGTTTTGTCATTGCAGTTAAGCCACATTGAGTTCCATGGAAAGACATGTTAACTAAATGGTCTATGCAACAGTGCTCTCTTTTCTCCATATTTTTGGAGCAGTTTACATGGTCACAGCCTTGTGAAATTTATTGTGGCCAAGGATTAAGCAGGCATATTTAGCATCCCAAGCTGGGAATACTAGAACAAGCAAGAAAAATGTTCCACATTGGAGGTAATTATTAAGGAACAAGAACCATGCTTTTTGTTTGTTGTGAGCTGTGTGCAGACTTTCTTTTAGATTTGTTTTAGAGTACATAACTTTTTGTTTCTCTAACCTCTAACAGTTATTGACCAAGCTTTTTACTTGTCGAAGGCTGATTTCGCACTTGATTAGATTATTTGAAACGATTTCAAGCCTTTCACACTATAGTTTTGGGTCCGAATTGTGCTATGTTTGAATTAACAACGTGAGAACTAGCAGCAGCTGTTTCCCACTATAAATAGGGCCCACTACAAAGCAAAACTCTTTTCTCCATGACAAATGATTTGTTGGTAACACTTCACCTGAACCCTTTATGTATAATGCATTATAAAGGGTTTCATGATGTACATTTTAATGCATTGTATATTTTCATAAATAATTGTTAAAGTTAAAATGCATTATATTTGCAGATTCTTTGTTACATCTAAAATGGGTTTTGTCATGTTTTAATACATTATATTTTGTACATTTGTAACAATGAATAGATAATGTATTATGACTGTGGTTGCACTTATTCATGAGACCATAAGGTGCTTTAAAAGGCATAATTAATGCATTAAAAATACTTTTATAAATAATGCATTATATATAAAGGATTCAAGTAATGTGTTACTGATTTTGCCTGCCTGGTGAAAAGTTTCAGACTGTTAAACAAATATGGAAATTTGACACTAGCTTTCAGGTTGGGCTTGACTGTGTTTAACAGCAAGCAGACACCTTTTAGTTCATAAAAAAAAATATTCTTGGTTTCTTACTCTTGTTTTCTCCTCAGGCCCTTGCTACACTAAAGAAAAACCAAGAGAATTTAAGATTAGGATCAAATTAGGGAACAAGTCGTCCCCTAAAAATAAAAGGAAAAACTTGACAAGGAAACGTTCAGTATTAAATATCAGGAAAGTGTGTGTTTATGGGTGTGGGGGAGGGGTAATATAATGGAAAACAGTCAATGCTTTTATATTTGTTCAGTAACTATGAGTGAATGCACTTTTTTCAGGGCACCAATTGCTCTTAGTAAAGGAATATTATTTAATGTGTAAAGGAATATTAATGGAAAAATGTGGCAAGGCTGTTGGATTTCTACGGTTTATATTTTCCGTTCATCAACGACATGCTCGGCTTACATAAATATGCAATAAAATACATCACCAGCACTAACTCAAGAAAGCTTCGTGAAAATCAAAACAGTCTCACTTTGCCTAAAATTGTTTGTTTTTAAAGATGTTATGAAATAAGACTACTGTCACTTGAAATACAGTCTGATGATGTTGCAAGTTTGGATGGAGTTGCTGTATATTTGCAGGCTGATATTTCTGTGGTAGTTAGGAGTGACCGTGGTGGTGTTTATTGCTTAAGCCTTACTCAGAGATAGATTAAAAAATGTATATATAAATGTGTTTAATTTTTTGTAATGATTGAGCTTGACTTTTTATTTGTAATAAAAAGAAATGTTCCTCTCAGTCCTCTGACTTTGTTCATCCACTGCTCGGTGAACTATTGTTTAAAATGTTTACTTTTAGTCACAGTGGGGATAGTAAAGTCTTTTACATTGTTACAAAAGATTGTTACTTAAAATAAATGCTGTTCTTTTGAATTGACTATTTATCAAATAATCTTGAAAATAGATTGATAAAGTTAAAGTTCCTATTATTTTTTGTCAGACTAGAAGTCTAATATAGCATTATGAACATATAAATATCTACTATATGTAAAATGTACAACGTCTTTGTTTTTTAGTATTCCTAGTATTTTAGTATTACAGACCCAAATGAGTTCGTCTTAAGATCTAATGTTCTTCCTATAAAATTCAGTCTAGTTTCAACATATCCATTAATGTTAAAATGCACCACATTTACTGAGATACAGCAGTCAACATTTGAAGTGGATCAAACAAGTTCATCAAAGTTGTCCTAAGACAAGAACAGGTATTGTTCAAAATTCATGTATAACTGATGAAAGATTTTGATCCACTTCAAATGTTTACTACTGTACATTGCCTACGTCCAAACAAGCACACAAAGTTGTAACTTATTAACTGTATGAGCAGATTTGGATGCTAAAACACTGGACATCATCACACAAAATTAATGTTCTGTTGCCTTAGAGACATTTGGCTATTATCATTAATGTTTGACCATGCCAAATGTGAACAAATGTTAGACGATTTTATTACACGTAATTGTTTGGCAGCCATGTTGAAACTGAATGGATTTAATGTTAACTAGTGCAATGCCAGTGCAAAATCAGTTTTTGTGTGTTTTTAGTAATTGTTGGTTTGGTATGTTTGAGTTGCTGAATAGCCTAGGCTATTATTACATAGGAGCCTAAACTCTGAGAAAACTATAACGTTAAGCGCACCAGAATAAAATATAATATTCAGAATTAAACAGTGTAGCTGACTTACAGATTCAGTTAAATCGCTACTTTTTCAAAAATGAATCGATACTTTTTCTAAAATGAATCGCTACTTTTTCAAAAGTGAATCGCTACTTTTTCAAAACTGAATCGCTATTTTTTCTAAAAGAATCGCTACTTTTTTCAAAAAGAATCGCTACTTTTTTATATAGTATAGTAAATTTATAATAATAATAATAATGTAACAAATGTATAATAACACTGTAATAAATGTATAATTACATTGTAATAAACGTTAAATTACATTGTAATAAACGTTAAATTACATTGTAATAAACGTTAAATTACATTGTAATAAACGTTAAATTACATTGTAATAAACATGTAATTACATTGTATAAGAATCGCTTATATAAAGCGATATTACATTATATAAAGAATCGCTACTTTTTCAAAAAAGAATCGCTACTTAAAAAAAAAAAAAAAAGAATCGCTACTTAAAAAAAAAGAAAAAAAAGAATCGGTACTTTTAAAAAAAAGAATTAGCTACTTTAAAAAAAAGAATCCCTACTTTTTCAAAAAGAATCGCTACTTTAAAAAAAAAAAAGAATCGCTACTTTTTCAACAAAAAAAAGAATCAGTACTTTTTTAAAAAAGAATCGCTACTTTAAAAAAAGAATCTCTACTTTTTCAAAAAGAATCGCTACTTTTTAAAAAAAGAATCGCTACTTTTTAAAAAATCGCTACTTTTTCCAGAAAGAATCAACAAATGTATAATAATAATAATGTCACAAATGTATTTACAAATGTAATTACATTATAATAAACGTATAATTTCATTGAAATAAATGTATAATAACACTAATGTATAATTACGTTGTAATAAACTTATAATTACATTGTAATAAATGTATAATAACACTGTAATGTGTAATTACATTGTAATAAACGTATAATTACATTGTAATAAATGTATAATAACATTTTTAAACTACTTTTTTCAAAAAGAATAGCTACTTTTTCAAAAAGAATCGCTACTTTTTCCAAAAAGAATCGATACTTTTTCAAAAAGAATCGCTACTTTTTCAAAAAGAATCGCTACTTTTTTGAAAAAGAATCGCTACTTTTTGAAAAAGAATTGCCACTTTTTCAAAAAGAATCGCTACTTTTTCAAAAATCGCTACTTTTTTCAAAAAGAATCGCTACTTTTTCAAAAAGAATTGCAACTTTTTTTTATTAAAAAATCGCAACTTTTTTCAAAAAGAATCGCTACTTTTTAAAAAAGAATCGCTACTTTTTCCATAAAGAATCGCTACCTTTTCCAAAAAGAATCGCTACTTTTCCAAAAAGAATCGCTACTTTATCAAAAAGAATCGCTACATTTTTCCAAAAAGAATCGCTACTTTTAAAAAATCGCTACTTTTTCAAAAAAGAATCGCTACTTTTCAAAAAGAATTGCTACTTTTTACAAAAGAATCGCTACTTTTCCCAAAAAGAATCAACAAATGTATAATAATAATGTAGCAAATGTATAATAACACTGTAATAAATGTATAATTACTTTGTAATAAATTTATAGTAACACTGTAATGTATAATTACATTGTAATAAATGTATAATTACATTGTAATAAATGTATAATTACATTGTAATAAATGTATAATTACATTGTAATAAATGTATAAAACACTGTAATATATAATTACATTGTAATAAACGTATAATTAGTAATAAATGTATAAAACACTGTAATATATAATTACATTGTAATAAACGTATAATTACATTGTAATAAATGTATAATAACACTGTAATAAATGTATATTTACATTGTAATAAACATATAATTATATTGTAATAAATGTATAATAACACTGTAATAAATGTATAATTACATTGTAATAAATGTATAACTGTAATAAATGTATAATTACACTGTAATAAATTTATAATAACACTGTAATGCATAATTACATTGTAATAAACATAATTACACTGTAATAAATGTATAATTACATTGTATTAAATGTATAATAATACTGTAAACTATGTTTAATTACATCATAATAAATGTATAATTACATTGTAATAAATGTATAATAACCTTGAAAAGAATCGCTACATTTCTCAAAAAGAATCGCTACTTTTTTACTTCAGAAGTAAACAGTGTAGCTGACTTTAGCTGACAGAATGTTTATTTTTAAACCACAACTTCAATGTGTGCTTCTTTTACAGATATATTTAATGATATATTTTGCATTTCTAATCCAAACAATGTCAAACTCGGCACTGCACTTACTCACTTACACTTATTACTTGAAATCCATCAGACTAACAGTTCGAGAGATATTCGATTAACAGACAGACAGACACACAGATGTTTGTTAGATAGATAGATAGATAGATAGATAGATAGATAGATAGATAGATAGATAGATAGATAGATAGATAGATAGATAGATAGATAGATAGATAGATAGATAGATAGATAGATAGATAGATAGATAGATAGATAGATAGATAGATAGATAGATAGATAGATAGATAGATAGATAGATAGATAGATAGATAGATAGATAGATAGATAGATAGATAGATAGATAGATAGATAGATAGATAGATAGATAGATAGATAGATAGATAGATAGATAGATAGATAGATAGATAGATAGATAGATAGATAGATAGATAGATAGATAGATAGATAGATAGATAGATAGATAGATAGATAGATAGATAGATAGATAGATAGATAGACACCTTTACTAAAAAACTTATACTTTATTGACATGTATACCAAATTAAACCACATTTAAAAACACTTTATTGTTTTTTTAATACACAGAATAGCAACATTACATTGTCCTGAGAATATTTCTTATTATAATTTTAATATCTGTAAAAAACAAAAAAAAGCCCAGTAGTGGAATAGAGATCTGTTAGTGCATGACAGGACACAAAAATGGACTTGAAGTGAGAGAGAAAACGAACAGTGCTAGAAAAGCAATAATGGCATGGCGCTTGCATCAGCACAGGTTAAACATGACCATTTAGACATACGAGGCTGACACGTCCATTCAAAAACAGCATACCAAGGTCATTAACAGTTTCGAATACACCAGTAGTCATAATTAAAGCAGTGCAAGCAGAAACAAAGCTGTAACTAAGTAACACTGTCACAGGAGTAAACACTGCCTCTCCAGTGAATCCATACAGCCAATGGCAGTGATAGAGAGTTCATTACAGCCAAGCCAGTAATCGTGCTGTGTAGCAGTCAGTCAGCAAAGAGCCAATGAGTCAAATGTGTCCTGCCATAGTCTATTTTACTGAATGTTGTTGTTCTATCTAAATATCTAGAGGTTGCTGATATGTTTGGTATCCAGAGACAAACCCACCCTCCATTTTCACAATTCCCAACCAATATTGGTGAGTGGACGAATGAATCTTCCTCTCAATCATATCCATTCTTTAGGGTTTCGTAAGACCTCCAGTATCTCTGCTTCCTTAGTGCCTTTTGTGGGCTCATGCATGTACTCCCACCTGAAATGAAACATTTACGGAGTTTTTAATGTCAAACAATAGATAAATACAGTAGACACAATAATTAAAAAACAAAAAAGTTCTACTTTCAAACATTACATTGAGTTTTTAAAAGGGTCATATCATGAGGAAATGAATAATTGTTGTGGTTGTCATATGAGCTCTTTTTACACTCAAAGAGGGCTTTACTCACAGGGTCAGTGAGTAAAGTGGATAATGCTTGTGCAAAAAATAAATTACATCTGTTTTGGAAAAACAGCCTCAGGAAAAAAAAAAACTTTTTTAAAAAAACATTTAAAGGGATAATTCACCCATAAATGTAAATTGTCTCATCATTTACTCACCCTCAGGTAGTTCCAAACCTGTATGAGTTTCTTTCTTCTTTTGAACACAAAAGAAGATATTTTGAAGAATGTTGGCAATCAAACAGTTGATGGTAGCCATTGATTTCCATAGTAGTAAAAAAAAAAAAATACTATGGAATTTAATGGCTACCGTAAACTATCTGGTTACCAACATTCTTCAAAATATCTTCTTTTATGAGAAACTCATACAGGTTTGCAATAACCTGAGGGTGAGTAAATTATGACAGAATTTAAATTATGCAGGTAAACAAAGTTCACAAAAATAACTTTAATAAAAGCTCGAGAGGATCTTCCATGGCAAAAGGCAGTAGCTCTGATGTGATAGACACAGTTTGCTCAGACCTTGCAGTAAGCGGTAGGGACATCAGGATGCTCTCGATGCGTGACCCAGGTGTGGCCAGGCCAAATTTCACCCCTCTGTCATACACTAAATTAAATTCCACATATCTAAGAAACACAAAGAGAGTTTGGTTACCTGCTGAACATTTACATCGATATGACATACACTTGAAGACAACTTCAATTTAGTCTCATAACTATGTTATATTAATATACATTTGTTGTATTATATTGTATAATAAAAATTAAATTGTAAATATAATTTTTAATATAGTTCAGTATGTTACGGGTTATAAAATGGTTCTTCAGTATTATACTTTTAATCAAATAAAAATATATATTTATATACTACGGTTCGGGTCAGCAAGATGTTTTTGAAAGAAGTCTCTTATCAAGGCTACGTTCATTTGATCAAAAATACAGTAATATTGTCAAATATTATAATTTATACATTTTTGTTTTTAAATAAATTTTAAAATGTAATTTATCCTGTGATGGCAAAGCTGAATTTTCAGCAACATTACTCCAGTCTTCAGTGTCACACGATCCTTCAGAAATCATTCTAATATGCTGATTTGCTGCTCAAGAAACATTTCATATTCCTCAGTGTTGAAAAGATTGATACATAAACAGTAGTGTATATAAAAAAGAAATTCCAAATCAGTATGGACTTTCCCTTGAACTAACCTGCCTCTCCTGACTTGCTGCCAGCCCTTCTCCTCCGGGGTAAAGGAGTCATTTAGATGTTTGTATACTATGGGCAAGTAACAGGGCACCACAGTTTTAGCACAGCTCTTCACAAAATTAAAAGCCTCCTCCTGATTGGGCGAATCCAAATCATCAAAAAAGATCCCGCCAATGCCTCTCGTCTCTCCTCGGTGACGGATGTAGAAGTAGTTGTCACACCTTAAGAAAAAAAGAAAAAAAAACAATTAAAAAAAACTAAATAAAAAAAACTAACTAAAGAAAGAAAGAAAGAAAGAAAGAAAGAAAGAAAGAAAGAAAGAAAGAAAGAAAGAAAGAAAGAATTTTTTTTAAAGGATGTTACAACACAAAAGTGTTGACTCACACAATACAGTGGCTGCTTCAAATAATGGGAAATCTTATCTTTGCTGAACAGTTCAAATCCACCCAGAAGATAGAACACTCATACACCACACGCATACACACACACCCATAACAGCTGTAACACACCCGATTCACACAGACATAATAGTAATGAGATTCCTACCACTTTTTGAAGTCTGGGTAAAATTTAGGATTGTGCTTGTCACATGCTTTCTTTAAAGTCTTGTGAAAATGGGCGGCATCTTCCAAATTAATGTAAACAGGAGTGAGATCCGTTCCTCCACCAAACCACCACTGCTTTGTGCCTGAGAGAAGGAGAGAGAGCGAGATGGGTGGTGGACACAGATAACAACATCTCTCCTCACACAGCCTCAAATGACTTCGCTAAACACCCACCATCTGCTTCCTCAATCTCAAAGTATCTGTAGTTGAAGTGCACTGTGGGAATGTGGGGGTTTTTGGGGTGTATGACTGAACTCACACCCATGGCACAGAACGGCAACTTCCCTGGAACACAGAGATAATGCTAAACGGTAAAAACGAAAGCATCACATGTCACATCTTCTCAATCACTCTCAATCCCATGAAGAATGACAAATCATCAGAGTAACAGCCTCAGTTCAAACTGAGCTCAAAAAGAAAAACTAGAAGTAGAACTGAAGATTTAAGGAACTGGTTCCTTCAGTCACACTCTGCATTCACCTCGAAACGGGAAGTCAGTCTCTCACCATCTTTCCCTTTCAGAACTTTTCCACGGCTGCGCATTTGTTTGGCGGCCTCCTCGGTGAGATTCCCAAACACCACGGATACGTTCACACCCGCTTTCTCAAAAACCTTCCCATCTTGCAACACACAGCTGATGCCCCCTCCACCTTTATCAGACACAAGACAAACATGATGTGTTACAGTGTAACACCAGCATGAAGCTTCTAGCTAATAATTAATTTATTAATGTTTCAATGTTATAGGTTTAATAAAGCAAAATCTAATCACTGATCTATGGAACAATTTTTTTTTATAGCAGATTATTATTATCATATATAATAATAAAGCACACATTTTTGGCACAATGATAACTAAATAATTAGAATCAGTTAATGGAATGGAATGGAATGTCTCCAAAACTAAATTGGCCACAAGATTTTGCCATTTATTGGCAAACCCGATACAAAACCAATTAAAAGGAACATTTGGAAAGGCATATCATGACCTATGAAGCCCATTTCTGACTTTGTTGGATAACAAAATAACTATAACATTCATACTCTAGTCTAGACAGAAGAGTAGGCCTACATCTTGTATAAGTGTATAGTGCGTCATCTGGGACAAAATACAAGTCATACGATAAAAAGATACAAAGTCATAAGATACAAAGTCAAATTTATGAGATAAAACGTTGAAATTGAGGGGGGGGGGGGAGAGTAAAAATGACCAGATAAAAGGCCATAATTCTGACAAAAAAAAGTCGAAATTGTGATTAAAAGTCGAAATGAGATAAAATAATAATTATGAGATAAAATGTCTTTTTAGATCATAATTATGTCACAAATACGATTTACCAAAACATGCTTTTTTCTTATGTTCTTATCCGAAAAAAAGGGGCCTCCATGTACTGTACCTTTTGCCCTAAACATAAATCAGGACTTTGGACCATAATGTTTGCTCTACTTTATCGAAGGCTTGCTTATGTTATGGTACATATTTTTAAAGATTCATTCACACATTTACTTTTTTAAACACACATTGAAATTCATTATATTTTAATATTATTTAAACGTTATAATATTAGTGAAGTAGGGCAGTAAAAACGAGCCAACCTTCTTTTCTAGTCCAGGTGTCCACCTTGAACGTTCCTCCATCCACCTCCTCAAGGGCTTTACAGAACGCAGCCTGCGTCTCCATGATGAGCATCTCCATTCTCGTAGACATCGCGTCTTTCCTCGTCTCTAAGACCTTGATGTCAGTGACTGGTGGAGACATGAACGACTTGCATCTTTCCCGCATGTCTCCCTCCACTTCTTCAACCTTGGAAATCTTCGTTGCCATTTCTGCCCGCTGAAAGTGACTTACACCTGCCGCCAGAACCCCAGTGACAGCTGCTGCCCCAGCAGCCAGAAATACACCTTTACCGTACCGCCCGAGTGAGATCCTCCCCGGCGAAGCTTGAGACATCTGTCTCGTTCCTGCTCTTACGAATGACCATTTTCCTCCCGGAAGAAAGGCACATTTACGGAGGGTAGAGTAACGGGCTACGAAAGAGTGGAAATCAGCAGTACCATGCGCAGAGCGGGACGCTCGACACAGTCTTGCTATTGATCTCGCTGAGTTGTTTATTGTGTACAAAGCTACAGAAGTCATTTTGTCTACTGAGCGAGAACAACTGTATCTGTCCACGAGCTGTGAGTTGATAACAGGATCATGAATAGGTGTAAAGTAACTATATGCAATTTTGCACGTAGCTTCTTCAACAGTTCTACTCGCGGAGGCGTGTCTTGATTTTTGTATACGAACCGAGGTGTATTGTGGGAAATTGAGTTTTTCCACATGTAAATAGTACATAATTCCATTCAATACGGACTACATATACCATAGACGTGACACAAAAGCTAAAACATGATACGTACTTCCGAGATTATAAAAAGGAGGTCTTTTAAAAATGTCAAAAACGCAAGTGCCAAGCCCTCCACGTTATAATTCACACTCTATCCCAGGGGTTTCCAATCTTTTGGATACCACGGACACCCAAATAGGATCAGCCCTGTGTGAAGGACCCTCATCCTAAAATTTATAAGGCATCCCTCTTTTGTAAACACCCAATTTATACACTTTAAAAAATAATATTATAAATCCAAAAATTAGTTTCTGTTACATTATTATATATTGTGTTCTACTCATGAGTGCACTGTAGTAATGTATTGTTATATGTATTATCATTTTTGTTTATTTCATTTTAATAAAATTTTTATTTATTAATATTAATCATTGTTTATTTTAATCTATTTTAATCTATTTAATAGACTAATAACTATCTAATAACTTTTTAATCACATTTTGAATGAATTTATTTGTTTATTATTTATTTTCAGTTTTTCTCTAGACTTTTCCACAGACATTTGAACCCCCTGCTCTATCCTTTTATAAATACCTTTAATACTAATAATAAAAATAAAAATAACGTGCAATAATTGTTGCCTTTGTGCTAATGTTGTTGACAATTAGAATATTGCCAAAGCATAAAGTATACAAATAGACAATAAATTTAAAAATAAGGTAAAATAAGTAGAGACATTAAGGACATAAATTTGTTTATTCATGAAGATTTGGCCAAACAAACCAAACTATCCTTTGTTGTACTTATTTTTCCACCAACTGTATCACAGATAAAATCTGGCTGGCTCTACCTTCTACATTTACAAAGAGTCTGCGCATGCGCGCGCACCCACGACAGGCCGTGTTGTGTGTCTCTATGGCAACACCTGTTACATGCTACTTTGAGGCTGAGGCCAGCAGAGGATTAGAGCTGCTCTCTAATGTACAGGTGCGCGTAGAGACCAGCTCTCTAGAATATATAGGGCGGCTAATGAATTACCATTCATTATTTTTGCACTCAACGCGAGGCAACACCATACAGAAGTTTTGAAGGTAAGCTGTATTCATTTTCAGGCGCGGGAAAATAATAAACACATTCTAAAAGTAGCCGGTTGATCAAATCTATCATGGACTGAGACGAGACGACCACCAAGTTTGGTGTTATTATCAATGCACATAAAAATGTGATTTTATCACGCAGATTTAACATGAATTATTTTGGCATTGCAATGCATTTAGTAGCCTAACATTTATCTGGCATTTACAAATACAAAGCTCCCTTTAAACATAAAATTGCATCTGTAAAGTCGTAATTTAAAAAAATAAAATAAAGTTTGAATAACAACAATTTAGAATTGTCACTGTATGTGGACCAGTGTAGTTAAAGTTTTAGTAATTTTGTTGTGTTTTAGTCATTTTTACTAGTTTAAAAAAATAAATTATATTTCTATATTTCTTTAGTACATCAAGGAAAACTGAATAAAAATGAGAAATGTTGCCTTGGTAACTAGCTGAAATAAAATAAGTTTTTAAAATATTTTATTTTATTTCAGTGAGAATTATGTGCTCCTTAAGAGGGCAGAACCATGGACAAATGCTGCTGGGACACAGGCCGGGGTCTGATCAACTCCGGCCGGGTCGCCTGGGCGAGGGTGTCTGACGTTGAAAGACCCGAAACACCCAATGAACCCAGGATACATCACTGATGATGTGTCCCAGTGCATCTGCATGATGTATCTTTTAACTTTTACCTGCTGAAATAAAAGAAGCTTAAGTATTTTAATATTTTATTTTATTTCAGTGAGAATTCTGCGTCAGATTCCATGTGTTGCTCTTTCTGAAACACTTGTAAAGCCCTAATGCAGGTGGATTTTATGTCCATGTCAACAAACACACCAAGTGTGTTGTACGTTTAAGTGAGACGTATTTCTGTATGTCATCTATGTAATTGTATGTTTAGATATTAATCTGTATGCTTTAATGTAACTTAAATAAATTTAGAATTAAGAATGATCAATTAACTATTTACTAATGACGTATTTCAAATAATTATAAGTATTTATTTACTCTAAAAGATAATTTTGCTCAATAATAAAATGACTCTATGATGAGCAAGACAAGTTTTTTTTTATCTCTATTGTGATCCATGTTTCATTTGCTGTCTCTTAGTGAGAAAGCGAAGAGAGCATGAGTGTTTCTGCGGTCAAAAACACTCCGGATGAGTATGAGGATGACTTTGAGAAAGACCTGGACTGGCTTATCAGCGAGGAGAGCAAGAGTGAGGAACAGGTAAGTGAGTCAATGCACAATGATGTCAGAAACAGGTTCATATCTTGGAGACAGTTCTCTGGAATAGTGTGTGGTATTCCATTACACAGACGCTGTACCTGTGTGTGTGAAATCCACCCCACTGACACAGATCCATACACACTTTCACTCAGCCAGAGAACTATGTCTCATGGCGTTGCATTATTCAACACATACGCTCTATGTATCTGATTCTTCAGAGATCATGCTCTCCTTAACTTGCACAATGCCGTTTTTCTTATTCTGTTTTGCTCAAACTGAACACATTATTTTCTACAACAAAGGATCCTGATGATGATGACATTGAAGCTCAGATCGACAAAGAGCTTGAAGAAGATGAACCTAAAGAAAGAAAGGATGTGGACAAACACAGGGAAATGGATGATGACGAAGCAGATGAAAGGTGGCCAACACCTATGGAGCCATTAGAAGGTGCGTTAGATCCCGACAGGGATGACCGTATAACCTCTCCACATTTACAGAGCGACGAAGACCTCGATGAAGAGAAGAAATACATTTTGGAAAAGATTCAAGAGGCTAACAAACAACTCCAGGACCAGGATCCTCCAGACCAGAGCCGCCGCAGACGCCTGCAGTTTAAAGACACTCTGGTTGACCTGGTGGTGCCTGCGCTGGATTTCGACACTCAAGAGAGCAACAGCGCCTCCTATGAGCACTTAGAGGAAGATCGAGAGGTGTCCGGACAAATGCAGAGACTGAAGATCTCTCAGAGAGAGGGAAGAGACATAGGAGACCCTGAGGATGAACACAACGAGGGAGCGAAAGAAGGACGGATTTTGGTTGAAAAAGATGGAAAGTTTGATCTGGTGAGTATAAAGGAGATGGAAAGTCAAGGATTGCTTCCTCCATTGCCGGTTTCTCACAGCGACAGTCAGCGAGCGTCTTCACGGCAAAATGAGCTTGATCTCCATCTCAGTAAGAGTCCTGTGTCCTCTCTGAGACAGAATTCTACCTCATCTTTTCCCCCTGGAATTGAGTCTTTGTACATCCCCAAACCTCCACCGAAGCACAGAAATAGACCCAGTTCTGCCAGACTGTCCCAAAGGGGAGCATGGGTCGAGGGCACCAAGCGCAGGGTCCAGTCTGCAAATGGAGCTTCTTCACATGCCACCTTCACCCTGTCACCACAGCAGAAAGAATTACTGTCCAAACTTCAGCAGCGGAGGGAGAGGCAATCCATAGAGGTGTAATGTGGTTTCAATATCAGTATAATATCAGTTTCTGTCTTAATGTATTATAAAATCTGATTTCACAGTTTCTATTTGACAGCTTATTTCAAACGGGTCTAATGTTTTTTTTTAGACTTCTCCCTCCTCTTTCCTTCTTCAGGATGAGTTGAAGAAAAAAGAGGAAGAGGAACAGAGACGTCAGGCAAACGAGATAGCCTTCCAATCGTGGCTTTTGAGGAAAAGAGAGCAGCTGCTGGACGAAAGGAGAGTTCAGAAAGCCCAGGAAATGGAAAGGATGAGCTGCATGGTATGTCCACTAGGGGGAGCCATTTAAACAGAAAAAAAACAGGAGAACTGTGGCAATGTCTATTATGCTTGAAGAAACCTACCTGCAAAGCTACGTGAAAAGTTTTAGGCACTTGTGTAAAAATGCTGTAAAGTGAGGATGCTTTCAAAAATAATATCATAAATAGATTTTAACAATTAACTTTTTGTCAGGTAGATTTCTTCAAGCATCTTGGAGACGTTGCCACAGTTGGATTTAGTCTGTCTCCGTTTTTTCTGTTTCTTCATGTAATCACAGATGGACTTGAAGATGGTAAGATCAGATCTCCGTGTGGATCATACCAGCTGTTGTCAGACTCCTTGTGCTTACAAAAATATCACTGGATTATTACAATTAATGGCAAAAGGAATGTTTGGACTGATATTTCCTACTGACACACACAGCGAAAGATATAAATAACTGGCTTAAAACCTTTTCTTGGTGAAAATACTAACAGACTTTTGCACAGTACTGTATACATGTATATATATAAACATTAATTTGCATATATATATATATATATATATTGGCATATATAGATAATTTTTTCAAAAACATAAAAAAATATTTTGTGTGTTTGTACAAACAGACACACAAAATATTTGTTTATGTTTTTGAAAAAATAATCTTATGCTAACCAAAGATTGTCACTTTTTTACTGTTTTTGTTGTTCTGGTAGAGGGATTGTGGTGACCCAGAGGAGGCCTTTAAACAGTGGCTCCAGAAGAAACAGGAACAGCAGTTCAAAGACAAACAGGTAGAAGAGATGAAGAGACTGGAAAAGGAGAGCGGCTTTTGCCTGCACAGCCGAGAAGAGAGTGAGAAGGCCTTCAGGCAGTGAGTTCAGCACCATATTGCTCTTCTAAAACTCAGAAAACAGAGGGAGAATTGTATTTGAAACTAACGTGCAAGCATTTCCCTCTTGTTCTTTTGGACAATAGATGGTTGAGACGAAAGCGTACAGAGAAAAGAGCAGAACAGCAGGCAGCTCGAGAGCGCTCACGCAGGCTCGTGCTGGAGGAGCGAAGAGCAAGACGCATGCATGACCTCGTCTGCACTGTCAATGAGATTAAACCCTTTCGATTCAGTGACCCCTGTGGATACCACTACTGATCACCTCGTACTGTACACATCTGACCATTGTTATAACCTGAATCTGATGTAGCTCCAATTCAGCAATCGCTGTGGTTACTGCAGAGGCACCCATTCAACTGTATCTATGGTTACCTTTCTATTGAACATCTCAAAGATGTCTCATCTCCCTTATACAGTGGATGAAAGATCATGTGGTTAGCAACACAAACAGGAGCTCTCTTTTATTAATTTTCTATTCATGCTTTTTCAGATCAAACAGGTGCTCGAGTGGATGTCCGTGATCCAACAGCCTTAGGCACTTCAAATAATTGCTAAACAAAGGTGGTTTAATGGAGTTTTACATAAATGCTGAATCATCAGATATTGTCATTTTTTGTTTAGCTGGCTATCCTGTAGATTTGCCCTGTGTCTGCTGCAGAACAGCAGGAACAATAGAAATGCAGCAGCACAGACCCAAAGCTTCAGTGATCTAGGGGTGGTTGGCATGAAATTCACTGCAAAGTAAAATGCTGTACTCCATTCTAAACTGCATTTCTTTTATAATTATTATGCATGCAGATTTGATGATCTCATATTAACTGAAAGACCTTATGGATTTGTACTTAAAAAAAAAGAAGAAAAGGTGAACCGTCAGTCACTGATAAGTTATAAACACATTTATACAAAATTACAAATTAAAACTTGTAATCTTAAAGTTGATTAAAAAAAGTCCATAGGCATATTATGCATCAAATATATAAGATTTCTAGTTCAAACAAATGCTGTTCGCACTATTTATTCATCATAAAATCCTGAAAATAATGTATGTTTTCAACATGGTATTAATAAGAACCATTATTAATTATTGAGCGCCAAAACTACTTGAACTGCAAATTAACATATTAGAATGATTTCTGAAGGATTATGTGACGCTGAAGACTGGAGTAATGATGCTGAAAATATAGCTTTACCATCACAATAATTAATTATATTTGAACATATATCAAAATTGAAAACAGTTATTTTAAACTGTAATAATATTTCACAATAGTACTGTTTTTACTGTACTTTGATCAAATAAATGCAGCCTTCAAAAACATTTATAAAATCGTAGGCTATTTTTTTTTTACTTTTGACAGATATAGTATAGGCTAGTGTATATTCAACGTGAGAAATCAGAGTTTACTGGTATATGTGTAACAAATGTTCACATTTATATAGTACTATATTTTTCAAAATGTCACATGACATGGGCTAGTTGCGAGATGTATTAGGAAAACTACATTACCCAGGATCCATGTTGTGCGTCTGCGCAGAACTCTCTATGCCGCTAACGAGTCGTTGAGGGATGCAATGCTCCATAGCAACATCAGTACCAGCGGAGGAGCGCTATAGCGGGCGACCTGGGATAAATATCCTGAGAATATCTGAAACAGGTGCTGCATGCTGACAGCATGGACGACCAGAAGGTAAGCAGCAACCGCTGTTATAGAGAAATTATCACTGATACGCGTCAGATGAAAAAAGAAGAAGATGCTGCGTTATAAAAGAGATACTAAAGACGAAATGCCGTTAGCTCGTAGCTTCACTTCCAAATGTCCTCCGCCCATTGTGTAAGTGGAAATGTGTCCTTGTAAAGACAGTCTTCTGGAAGTAACATCTTCACATCGTTAGGATTTCTACATTGTTTTAAATCCATGATGCAGGCATGAAGATTTCCCCAAAATGTTGATCAACAACATTGTCAGTCTGAATCCCCAGAAACCGCCCCGGTTCTGTGAAACGAGTATTGTTTTGAAATATTTATTACAGGAAATGTTCTTAAGGGAGGAAATAACATTTCTGTGCAGTGATACATAAAAAAAACACACACGCCAGAACAAATTTTGGTGCAGGGAAACACCAAACCGGCCTGTATTGTTAGAAGCTTCAGGCTTCAGGGAGGCGCCCCGGATATAAAGCCGCTTCTGCGTGGCTCATCATCAGTGACTTAATCCAATGCAAGAAGCCTGGATGAGATGAGAATGAAAAATGACATTTCTGATCAACCCTGCATGAGTAATATACAGTAATTTACAGTAATATCAGCTCATTCTCCTTCCTCTGTCTAACGGGCTTTACAAGTCTACTCATGTCCCAAGGCAACACTCAAAAATAGACAATGAAATTATGACGCCGATAGGAAAGTATTATCTGAATTACATTAAACAAATTGTGTTAAAGGTGCAGTCAGTAATTTTTTTGCTAACTAAATTGATTTTTTTTTTTAATTGAAAAAAATAAATAGCACTTTTGAGAAATATTAAAATGATTCCAGCCATATCAGTCTAAATAAAGCTGTTTATTCTTCATGGAGTGGGTCCTCCCTAATGGGCGCTACCATGTTAGGTCACATGACCAGACCAACCATCAGTTCCACCAACTTAAAAAAACAGGCATGCAGAGTAATAAAAGTTGTTATATATTAATTCTATATAATATTTATATAATATTCTTATATTATTTTAATTAAAGGTGTAAAATTGTCCAAACATAATTGAATTCTGCTACAGAAAATAATTCAAAGCAATGATACAAATCTAATAGGACTATAGCAATGAACTTATGTAAAAACCTATTGCGTTATCTGCTTCGTTTTGGTATTTTATGACTCAGTGTATGAACGTATTCCTGATTTTACATGCATGTTTCAGGAGTCACTGAGGAAGATTATCACTACGTTGGCTCTGAAGAATGAAGAAATTCAGAACTTCATCTGTTGTCTAAAGCAGAATCTAGAGAACCTAGAGGTAATCACCATAGTAAGCCTTCTCTTTTTACTCACATTTAGTTAGTGAACTGTTTGATGAATCAGGAAATGTCTTTGTTAGCTCTCAGATGGCCCAAATGTGTTGCAAACACAGTGTTTACCTAGACACATTTCACTAAATCAGCAATTTGCAACAGCAATACAGTTTCAAGCAATAAAGACAAGTCAATGCAGCTTTAACTCTGCATTCACTCTGGTGGTGGTGTTTGCAGGTGAACTCAAACCGAGCGCAGGAGGATCTGGAGTCAGAGTTTAGTTCTCTGCATGCTGTCCTGGACGAATTGAAAGAGGGCATGGTGACACGCATCAAGCAGGAAAGAGCCAGCCGCACATATGAGCTACAGGTGAGAGCGCTGGCTGAGCTCAGCTCTCTGGAATGATCCCTAGACAAAATACAGATTAACAAATTCAACCTAAATGTATTCAAATGTTTTATATTTTCTAGTCTGAGTGATCAGATATAATCAGTAAAAGGCAGAGTGAGATGGCTTTATAACTTGTGCATGACTTAGATGTGTCATGTTAAGAGAAGGATAATAAGAAATCCTTGAGGATTACAGTGTCTGTGTGTGTGCGTATAATCCATCCTTGTGTACGTGTACATCTGAAACAAAGCATTTTACAACACACATAGCATTTTACAACACACATTCTTCGCCATTAAACGTAGTAAATAAATAAAGAGCGTAATGACAGAGGTCAAAGTACATTTTACCTACTGAAGAATATAATTTAAAAGCACATTCTCTTATATGTATGACCCTTAAGTCACAGTGTGAAAACATTGAGGTTAACCATTTTATCCGCTCGTGTTTTACCCTTGTGTTTGTAGTTATTATATACTCCATGGTATATATTATATTATTCTAATCAGTATTTTGTATATATATAAATCCCTATGATCAAGACAATAAAGTTTTTTTTTTTTTTTTAACACCACTGTTCAAAAGTTTGGGGTCTGTAAGATTTTTTCTCTTACACTCACGAAGGCATTTATTTGATCAAAAATATAGTAAAATAATAATACTGTAAAATATTATTACAATTTAAAATAACTGTTTATTTTTTTTAAATATATTTCAAAATGCCATTTTTGCCTAAATGACAATTGCTGGAACAGGTAGCAAACAAACTGGAACAAAGTAGCAATGTAGAAAAGCATTCAAATCAAGTGCAAATAAGGTTACGCCTCCAGTTCCAAGAATAACAGCAGTATGCAAAATACAAGAACGCTACAGCAATTTAGCATACTGCTAGAGATAAATCAGTTTGATAAGACCAAAAGCTTATCTGGTCTCTAAAGATGAGTAGAGTTATGTTAACCATTCTGGATTATGTAATTGTCCAGTGATATTATGATTATTCTGATGGTCTTTTCAGAGCCAGCTGAGCGCATGCACCAAAGCCCTAGAGAGCTCAGAGGAGCTGCTGGAATTAGCCAATCAGACGCTCTGCTCATCCGGGAATGACAGCTTCACTCAGGTAACGCCCACTTGGAATATTTACACCTTTACAACTCATCTATTCAGACTTAATGCCTTTATGGTGTTTCAACCCATTGCCTTTTTTGATATATATTTGAATATAGTTATATTTGTACAACTGCGTTTAGGACATTTATCCTCAAATATTTACATTGTCAAAGCATTTAGAATGATTATTTGATTGTGTGTTTAGAACCGTTTGGCACTGCTGTTGCTTTTTCTAACAAAGTGGCAAATTGTGTCAGATGCTGCTGGCTTTTCTTGCTAACACGTGCTGGTATGACTGATGTATTGTGTGTTGTTGAGACTCAATGAGACTCAGTTCTCTTGCTCCCTATCTCTTTCTGTCCCTTCCTTTTTTCTCTTTCCTCTCTGCTGCAGGCGGCCAAAGACATAAAGGATAGGTACTGTACAACTGTCCATACTTAGATCTTTGATTGAGTTCAATGCCCACAGTCTAGAACATCTTCAAACAAACATCTTCAAGTTCATTCATTTTATTATTAACTCATTTAATATAAATAGATTTAGCAAATTATAGTCATTTGTATTAGTTCTCATTTCGTCTGTCTCCCGGGGTGTGTGCCTGTGTATATGCATGCCATGGAGTGATTTCTTGTGCCCTCATTGACATTTCCTTCATGAAATTCCCATGTTCCTGTTCTCAGTCTGTCGGGAGTTTTATTGTCCTTGTAGACTGACTGTAAGTGTTTATTGCGGGTCTGTGTGTCTGCAGTGTGACTATGGCTCCAGCGTTTCGGCTGTCCCTGAAAGCAAAGGCCAGCGACAGTATGAATCACATGATGGTGGACTTCACTCAGGAAAGAAACATGCTAAAGGCCATCACATTTCTTCCAGGTCAGTGTAGCATACATGAGAAAATGTCATAAACAATTTAAGCAAAGGCCAGTCGACACACCTAGATTTCAGCTTTTCACCATTTCACTTCACATGTTAACAGTTTTATTAGCAGGATTGCCAGGTCTGTGTAACAAAACCAGCCCAAAGGCCAATCAAAAATAGCCAAAAACTAGCCCAATGACCCTATCCAAAGATGAAACCTCAATGTATGTTGCTCCCATACCTTCAATACATGTTTAACATGTGTAATACACAATTTCTACTTGAAAATCACTATATAGCCAAGTACAGTTTAGTAGTAAAACTGACTTGTCTTTATGAAACAGTTTTGATAAAGGTACTCGAAGGCCCCACCCTCAAAAAACTCATCATCTAGCACAGTTTTATCATTGGTAGAAAGAAAAATATTTAAAAACAAGCATTTCAATCAAATACAATTTATGCATTATGTCAAACCTTAAACTTGTGGGGAAAAAATTAACCTGCAGCAACAGTTAAAAAGCAGCCCACTTTGGCAGGAAAACCGTGAACTTGGCAACCCTGTTTATTGGTGTTGTGTCAACAAACGGAGTGTCAATATATCTGGTGTAATGTCAAGAACAGAGAAAAAAAAAACAATACTTAATTTCACATAAATGCAGACAGATTTTCTTGTAAACAGTTAATACTGTTTATTGTTGTGCATGTAAACAGACTTTGTGTTTTTAATAAACTAAACATACCTGAAGTAATCCCTTAATACACACTGAGGCTGGGCTATATGATGCTATTTATAATCAAATTAAATCAAGTTAAATTTTTAATAATTTTTTAAAATACATTATAATAATTAACTTAATAAATAATTACAATACATGCATATATATATATATATATATATATATATATATATATATGTGTGTGTGTGTTTGTGTGCAAAGAAACTTATAAACTACAAACTAATTGAAACTAAGAACACTGTGTGAAATAACTATATACTGTATATACTGTATATATATATCTCGAAGATTTTAGGCTTTGGCAAGTACCTCTGAACAAAGCACTCCAGTGTCAGATATCTCTGTTGCTCTCACCTTTAGTGCCTGGCACACCAGAAATTCTCGTGGCAGAATGCCAGGTGTTTGATAACACAGTCACAGTGGCGTGGAGCTTACCTGAAGCCGACTCCAAAATTGACCACTACATCCTGGAATATCGGAGAACCAATCATGAAGGTCCCCCTCGGGCTCGAGAAGACTATCCCTGGATGGTGATGGAAGGGATAAAAGAAACTGAGTACACACTCACAGGTAAGTGCTGATGTTTGTTTTGGATGTGATCTTTTCTTGAGTAGATTTTGATAAAGACAGTGATGTCATTTGTTTTTCAGGCCTTCGTTTTGACACGCGTTACATGACCTTTAGAGTGAAGGCGTGCAATAAAGCTGTGGCGGGTGAATTCTCAGAGCCAGTTTCTCTAGAAACACATGGTAAGCTGCACTTACACACATACACACACACACAGAGGGTAATGAGGCATGAAGTTTCTTCTCCTCACAGAAAAGAGTCTTAGAGTGGTTACAAAGCACAACCCCTACTAAAACTGTTTGTTAAAGACTGATTTAGAGACCACAACTGTAGAACGTCTGCCTCTTTGTGAAATAAAATTTAGGGCTGTCAATTTAACGTTCATTTTGTGTAATTAATTTTACAATAACAATAATGATATATGGAAGTAATTATGCCCCCTATACATGAATGCCTGTTCAGTGCATTATAATGTCTTTTCTGAAATTGTATGTATGAGTATGTTGATTAATTTGCATATAATGTAATTATAATTTTTAAAAGGCTCAGATTAAGCTGCATGTTTCAGAGTGTTTTACAACTTTGTTCTTTTACATTCGAGAAGCTCATTCGTCTATGTTTTTAGTGTTTTGGAGCGGCTCGGTTCACAGTAAATGCTGCTCCACACAAACTGTTCTCTGTATCTGCTCTGAGTTTGGGTCATTTATAACATGCAATTTGGAAGGCAACATCATGCACCAACCATCTTCCCAAACTTGTAATGAGACGTGCTTATAAACCTACTTAACACTCAACTCACCAAAAGAGAAACTTAAGGGCAACCTGCAGTTTTGCTTAACCCTCTGAGGTCTAAGGGCATTTTTTCACTTTTTCCTTCGATTTTACAAATCTTATTAAATTCACCTTTTAAAGGTAATTACATAACATAATCCCACATGTTTTATATCAAAATGTGCAGAGAAAACCCAGCTCTCTTACTGGTGAGTTCACCACTTGTCCTGGAGAATTGTCTAAAGAGAGAGAGAGGGATAACCTGTCTCTAAAAGGTGAAAAATTTAAGTCCGATTTTTGAAATTCTTCAAATCTCTTGTGAAAACATACCATTACTCATGTGGACGAATTATTTTGGTCCTTGAAATGGGTTTCCCAAAGTCTTAGGGTCACAAAAGGAGTGTAATATATGAATAAAATAGTAGATAATGAATAATCATTGTCTAAAGTGACATTTTTGAAAAATCGTTTTTTAGTACAAGTTTTGTCTGTGACTCTACCTTCACCAAATGTTAGAGGGACTGAGATAAAATAGGACTAAAATAACTTCCTACTACATATCAAGCTTTATGGGATGTGTGCAAATGAAAAAGTAGCATTACAACAGGTCTTTCTTTCAAGCAAAATGTTTACTTTGTGAAAAAAACTCACTACTAACAATATTCACAAAATGTACACATTTTCATGTTTTACATGTCAAAAAAAAAATTCAAACCAAAGATGAACTATATATTAGAAATATATATATATATATATATATATATAAACTTACCACTATTTACAATATTTACACAATGTGCATGTTTTCATGTTTCAGTTTTTCAGCTGTCATGCCATGCTGCAAAACAGTTTCTGTCCAGCTGCATGCAAAGCGCAACACCACACTCCCTGCATTTCCAAGGTGTGTCCTTTCTCTGGCCTTGGCTTTGGCAATGCTCACACCTGCTGCGACCTGTGGTGGCTTTTGTGGAAGAATCTGCTGCATGAACGGCAATTGGCACAGGAATATGACCTGCAGGTACCGGGACCGGAGCAGTGTGAAGAGGCTTACCACAGAGTTCAGCAGTCAGCTCCTCCATGAAAGCTCTGTGTGTCATGGGTGTTGTTTGCTGGGCCAGACAGAGTTCCTTGTGGAGGATGTAGCTGTTGGTGGTGGCAATGTCCAGAAAATGGTAAAACAGGTGTCTGTACCAGCGCATTGTTTTGTGTTGTGCAGAGTAATATTGAATGAGCTGGTCTGAATGATCAACTCCCCCCATGTGTTCATTGTACGCCAAAACTGGTGTGGGACAGGGGATTGATGTCTTTGTCCAAGAGCCATCTTGTTGTTTCACCCTCCTCTGAACAGTGTTACCAGAGTGTGCTGTGTGAAGTGTGGAGCAGACTGATACTTCTCACGTGTCCATCCATTTCACATAGATGAGGGGCCCGTCCCGGATCCATCTTATGGAGCCTCTTTCTGATTTTTTTGTGAGGGCGTTATTTGTTGTCCGAGGGCAGTCCTTGCGGTTCTCCCTGTAGGTCCCACAGGCAGCAAATTTTTGCTCATGGAGAGCCCTGAAGAGTTTGGGGCTTGAATAAAAATTATCCATGTAAATGTGGTAGCCTGTGCCAAGGTAACCTGGTTGTACCAGGGACATCACAACATCATAGGAAAGGCCATGTCCAGAGGGGATGTCACTTTTGCCGGTGTAAACGGAAAAGTCCACTGTATAGCCATTCCGTGAGTCTGCCAAGACAAACAACTTGAATCCCCACTTTATCGGTTTTGCCTTCATGTACTGCGTCATCCCAGTTTTGGCCTTTGATGCAACCATTCTTTCATCCACAGCCACATCTCTGTGAGGATGATAAAATGACTTGCAGGCATTTTTGATGGTGTTCATCAGGGGTTTCAGTCTGAAAAGTTTGTCATGGTCAGCTGTGCCCTTTTTTTTGTCGTTCTGGACATCCTCTTCAGGGTCGCTAAGGTGAAGGTTCCAAGAAAGTGCTCTGTATCTGTCCCGTGGCATGATCTGCACTGGAAGTGGCAAAGAGAAGAAGTGATTCTGTCTCCAGTAATCTGCAATGCTGTCGAGTTTCACCATGGCCATGTACAGAAGCAGTCCAATGTACTTGTAAAACTCCCCTATGTTCACATCTAACCATTTATATTTCTTTCCCTGTGCCATTTGTTTAGCAGCCTGCTTGTTTGTGTTTTGGCACAGTGTTTGTATGATTTGTACAGGGAAGAAAAGTTTGAAGAGGTCGAGTGGTGTATATGTGGAAGTGGAGCTGAGCTGTGGCCCTGGTGTTCGAGCTGGTTGAAACCTGGAGACAGGGGGAGCGATGTCTGGGTCTTTTTCCGTCTTCCAAGACAGTGGAGCTGGCTGCTGTGTAGGTGGGGGTGCTGGTTGATGCTGGGCGTTACGGGACCTCTTGGCTGGCCGGGTTGGTGATGATGGCTGCTGTGTAGGTGGGGGTGCTGGTTGATGCTGGGGGGTACGGAACCTCTTGGCTGGCCGGGCTGGTGAGAATGACTGCGGTGTAGGGGCTGGTGGTGACCTGGTGGCAGGCACAGGTGAGGCTGCCTGTGTTACACTGGGCCCTGGTAGCTGTGAATCCTCTCTGAAAAAACACAAAAACATAAAGTTTACCTCTCTCTCTCTCTCTCTCTCTCTCTCTCTCTCTCTCTCTCTCTCTCTCTCTCTCTCTCTCTCTCTCTCTCTCTCTCTCTCACACACACACACACACACACACACACACACACAAACCAATCTCCACTTAACAAGAATGTGGAAGATGTGTGAGGATTTGACTTATTTTAACGTTATTCCAATTTATCACATGTGCTAGCTATCCTGTCCACCCCAAATCACAGCAAATAACACCTGAATGAGATGTGGGAATACTGTCTCTTCCATTTCAAAACTCCACAGAGATTTATAATTTTACATTCAGTATAAATATAGGCCTACTAAACATAAATAAAATTATATGAAAGATCAAGCCACATCTATACAAGTATAAACAATATGATAAAAAAGGTCAATGGCCAAACCATATCGATTCATCACTACAAGAGATAGGCCTAATGTTATTCAAATTGTGAATTGAGGTGAATAAATATTACATTAGTTATCATAAGGAGACCAGCAAGAACAGCCTACAACGTTACTATTTGTAAGTGTACCCCGGTTTTACACAAGAAAATAACTTTTACATAAAGTAAACACTTTGCTAAAGGCACAGTCAATTTGTCAAAGCAGCACAGCGCAGCTTATTTTAGCCAAGATGGTCACCATGCGAACGAGGTTTTTATAAAATAAATACGCTTACCCGTCCTCAACTGGATCTCTTCTGTGATCATAATCCTCATCTTCATCAGAAGAAAATCCATCAGGCTCGGAAACTCGCCTTTCATCCTCGTCGCTGCTATCCAAAATCGCCGCAAGTGCGTCTTTCAATGTCAATGTCTTCGCCATTTTCTCTCCTCGTCTTCATCTTACTTTTCCTCTTCTTTATATATATTTTTGCCATGTTTTTTTCGCGGACTTTTTCTTTCGCGGACTTTTTTACTCTTTCTCTCTCCATGTCAGCTGGTATTTTCCTCACTGTGAGGAGATGGGAGGGTACTTAGGGATTTCAACCGCATCTATTGGTTGGTTTCACACAAAATGCAGACAGGCAAGCTAGCCCACCAATCACGCACGGTGAATGACCATCTTGTCTTCCCTCTTGCTCTCTGTGTGAGTCACATATGATCTCGCGAGAATAAGGACGTTGAAGCTGAGAATCTGTCGATTACGGCAAAATCAGAACCATTTATGTGTGCTGCACAATCGCGGAGATATTAATAGAAACATTGAGTAAACATTGAGTTGACGCGCCCGCGCGTCATCCGACCTCAGGGGGTTAATATCTTTATTTGGTCATAATAATAATAGTAATACATAATATTATTATTGTTTTTATTAATATTATTATTACATAGTCATATTGATATACAATTTAAAAACAAGCACTGTAAACCTTTTTATCAGAAAAATTGCAATTAATCACCCCCCTCCTCCTCCTCCTCCTCCTCCTCCTAACCTCTTAACTTAACCTCTTACCTTTATCTCTTCTTCTTGTTTGCTTCCAGCATTCGTCTTTAAACTTGACGCAGGTTCATCCCATCAGAACCTGAAGGTGGAGGATCTCAGCGTGGAATGGGACAGCAGTGGTGGGAAGGTCCAGGACATCCGTAAGGAAAAGAACAGGACCAACTCTCCCATGCATTCTCCTGCCAGGTCAGATTCACACCTACATATCTTCTCACACTTAAATGTGCTGTACATTGACAGCAGTGCCACTGAACAGCTGTTGCCATTAAATGCATTTGTTTGGTTATTGCTTCTCATGGCTGGTATAGTCAGAAAACATGCTGTCATTGGCTGAAATGTTTGTATGCCAGCATTTGCCCAGCCATAAGCCAGTTAAACTGTCGTGCTTGTCCCATCTCATAATTCCTTTTCTCCCTCAGGACAGCCATGATGTCCCCCAAAAGAGCTCCATCAGCTAGAGTGGGCCGAGACCGCTTCACAGCAGAGTCTTACACTGTCCTGGGTGAGTCAGCATAAAAATATTACACAGAAGAGCTACAAGACATTGAAGAACTCTCGACTTTGAGTGTTCATTCAAAAACTCCCCAATTTCTCTCCAATGTTCAGGAGACACCATGATCGATGCTGGGCAGCATTACTGGGAGGTACGGTTTGATAAGGAGAGTAAGGCGTTTGCAGTGGGGATCGCTTTGCGGTCTCTAGGTCGCTTTGATCAGCTGGGGAAGAGTAATGCTTCCTGGTGCATCCACCTGAACAACTGGCTTCAGCAGAGCTTCACAGCCAAGCACAACAATAAAGCCAGAACACTGGACTGCCCCATTCCGGACCGCATCGGCATTTACTGCAACTACGAAGAGGGTGAGTTAAGCTACAAATATGACTAAATGAGGGATAGTGTCACAGTTTGCCTGTTGTTAGCTCTGAAGCTAACTTGGTAGCTATGGTGAAAACAAATTGACAATGTTTGCAATGTGATAAACAGCTAGTTGCAGCAGTCACTTATAGTATATTTTATATAGTGGTCAAGCGATATATCAGCTTTGGTCGATATTTGGAATTTCTTTAATGCATGTTTTGGCCGATAAGTGTTGGAAGCGGGACTTTTATTTTGACAGCGCCAGAACTTTTATACAAATTTGTGTGGACAGAAGAGCTGTCACTGGACGTGCATGAGCGACAAACCTTAAATCTTTGATTTCAAACTATGTTGGCACTATATCCATTTGGTCACTATGCCAATATTCATGTCATACTGTGTAGTGTATGTAAATTAGCATTACCTGATCTTTATTTGAGAAAATATGACTCCCAGACAGACTTAATAGACTACTGAGTGCACTGTTGGCTACAGTGTTTACTTCCTTTTTTTTGTCAAAATTTCTTTATTTGTGAAAAATACTCAAATCTGATTACAGAATCAATACGTTTTTATATAAAGTATAAATCTGTTTATTTTATTAATTATTTTTTTCAAATTATTTGTTTCATAATGATTCATTTTTAAATGAGTTCTTCCTAATTTAAAAAACAAATTGTGTTATTTTCTATCTTTAAATTACAGCTAATATATATTTATCACATAACATAATTTATATCTTCCATTGGTCATTGCTCTCTGAGTTATTGGCATTAACCATTAAAAATCCATATCAGTCGACCACTAATTAGTAATTACTAACTAGTTTGTTCTTGTTTTACCTCACCTATTTCAGGCACATTGTCTTTTTACAACTCCAGAACCAAAACTCTCCTTCATACCTTCAGAACCAAGTTCCAGCAGCCTGTTATACCAGCCTTTATGGTAAGATATAATATACTGTAGCTCATTTTGTATTTTACAATTAAATCACACATAAATTAGGGATATTTTGAACACAGTCTTGTCATCTAGTCAGACTGTATGAGCCTTGTATAATTAAGCCAATTAGATGTGTTTCAGAGTCTTTTATGTAAGATGCATTCTTGCATTCCAAAACATCTTGATTGAGCGGAACGGAACAGAAAGAAGAGGTCTATTTTTAACTTGACACTTCATCATCAAAATGCCAGGTCATGGCACACGATGCGCAGAAAAAAATACAAGTCACAACAAGTTTGACTGCATGTGTATGGTTGAACAAGCATTGCTTTATGCAGTGATTTTATAGTGCCCCAATTATGCTATTTTAAAGGTTACTCATTTTGTTTTTGGAGGTCTCCTGCCATAGGTTTACATGCATCCAAAGTCAAAAGGCACTTAACTTTTCTCATAATATACATTGCAGCATCACCTCTTTTCTCACAGTGTCTGAAAGGATTCGATAAAGAATTAGGTCTCTCATAACCCCTACTTTCCACTGATTGGTCAGATGGCCTAGTCTGTTGTGATTGGTCTACTGCTTGCAGCGCATGTCGCAAACGAAACACCCGTCACCATTATCTGAATTTAAGCTCAGGTCGTCTCCTCAGCACTTGTATACACAGTGATATGAATTTTTGTTTCTACAAAAACACACCAGCCTCATGCTCTCTTTCACCCCCTACAGGTGTGGAATGGGAGTTTCTCAGTGCAGACGGGCCTTCAGGTACCCAGTATCGTGTTGAGCGGTCAGAAGAGGAACAGCAATACAAGCAGCTCTAATGCCAGCCTTACCTAGATCATACTTCACTGATAAACATACACTCTAGAACGGCTACATGTATACACAGGTTTGGAGAACACCTGGCTAACCCTGACACAACAAGCCTGGAGGCTCTTCCTATCATCACTATGTCATGCCAGCCCAGGGGGAGAGCTGCTCTAGTTTGCCTTCCTCATTCCTTTTAGCTCACTGGTCTGGATTCTGTGCCTTTCAGTGTCCTGAATTAAGACATGATGGGGTATTACTCTAGTTCAACATGCAATGAGCTTTTAATAGCCTTGAGTTCATGTGTATATCACTAGGGCCAAACGTTGTATTGTTTTTAGCATTCAAACCACAGTATTTGAGCCACATTTGAAGTTATTTCAATGCAACAGCAGCATGTCTGAAATCTCAGATGAAACTGTATTATATTTACACACTGAATGTCTTAAATGATACGCCTCGAATTCTGCTACAGTAGCTGCTTCCGTAAACAAACCTTTTTAAACTTACACTTAGTATCAGAGTAGCACAATAATCTTAAGCTAAATCATCAACGTCAAATGCCTTTTATAGAATGTATTAATTCAGCAGTTCCGGCATCTGAGGGAGGAGGCAGGTTTAACAAACCATTTGTGTGTGTTTGTGTGTATATGTTAATGATCTGTCACCCGGGAAGGGACATTTTCAGTGTTCTTGATGCAAATATTTACCAGAATTTACTTTTCCGTATGCCTGCTGCAATTACGTATTACATATTACAGAAGACTGATTTTTTTTATCAGTCTTTTATCGGTCCTCTTAAAAGGGACAGTTCACCCAAAAATGAAAATTCTATCATTTACTCATCCTTAAGTTGTTCCAAACCTATATGACTTTGTTTTGATAGTAAAGTCAAGAGTTAATATTCCCCTTAAAGGTGCAGTAAGCAATTTCTGAGGAACACTGTTGATATTTGAAAACAACCCAAACAAACACACCCCTCCCTTCATTGCTCCGCCCCTAAAATGCAGGAACACGCAGTGCAAGAGTGGATGTCTCTTTATCATAGCTGAAGTGAAGCAAATTTATGCTTGGTGAAAAATAAAGCGAAGTTGATGAACGAACGACAAGGAAGAACAAAGAATTAACATGCAGCACACAAGAGTATATACAAGCAAGAGTTCGTTGTTATGGTCCTTGCACACTGAGTCCGAAATTTTCATATGCGTTTTTTTCGTATTTGTCATCCTAAAAATAAGTCACGCACAGAAACCTTGCACACTGAGTACGATGCGTATTAATCCGTTGCGAAAAAACAACAAAAAATTATTTTTTCCGCAAAACAATACAAAATTGAGTCTTCAAGCAGTGAGGATGATTTTGTTGTCCTCTCTCTTCTTAAAATGAGAAAACGAAATTTTGGGTCCATGCCATCCATCCAATCCTGAGATTGCGTAGAGAGGAAGGAGAGTTCCACCTCCTTATCAAGGACAAGGAGCTGCGGGATTGTCCCGAGCGATTCAAAGTTTACTTCAGGATGTCAGTGGCTCAGTTTGATGCTTTGCTAGTGATACTGGAGCTACACATTAAAAAGAAGACCATCAATTTCTGTGAACCAATTGATCCTGAACAGTTGATCCTGTACGGTGGCTCTGAATTGTCAAAACACCTGTCAAAATGCTTGATCAGAATTTTTTTTATGACGGACGAAAGTTTTGGAGGCAGTGTGTAAATGTGATTCACACAACGTGAAGTTGTATTTATTTTTTAACGTGTGAAAATGTCGGACTCAGTGTGCAAGGACCTTTAGTTGCCACTCATAACGGTCTGGTTACTATAGCTAACATTACAACAACAGCATATCTTGGTTTTCTGAAACACAGCAAAACCAATGTTACTCTCCCTCTTTCTCCTCCCCCATCGTGAGTGGACACGCCCCCTACTGCTGATTGGCTACAGTGTGTTGTGGCGCTTACTGCACCTTTAAGTGAACTGTTAACTCGAACCACTGGAAATGGATCATTGCTACATTTAAACTCCGGAACAAAATTAATCTGAATCATGTCTGAATTAGATTGTCCAATTCATTGAAAAGAGCCGACTCAAAATTATGATTCATTCATGAATCGGACATCGCCGCTACTTTCATTAACTCCAAAGAGAACTAGGATTTTTTTTATTTAAAGACAAATTCAATTTCAGTCTGTTAATCACACGAAGCTATCAAATGACTTCTAAAGAAAAATATCCCACTCATGCTGGTTTCGAATGATTTGTAAAGCCTGAAAGGTCCATGTCGTAATTGCATTGAAAAGAGCAATCTCAAAAGAAAGCCAGTCATTCAGTTTTGACGCGACACGAGGGTGAGTAAGCTAATGTAATATAATCTGCAATGCTTTTAATCAAACATCTGAACATTTGAAACATTTCTGTCTAAAGAAAGTCAAACTGTAAAGTCATACTATTACACTATACCTGTTACGTCAATAAAACAAATGCCAAACATACTTGTCTTGCACATCCGCACAAGGAAAAAAGTATGACACAGTGTACGTTTTTTTTCCGTGATCATTGTATTGTTCTTAAAATACACAGAATAAAACATGTCATGTTTTAACAGGAACAGAAAGACAACATTCGTTTGATCCGTTTCTCTATCTGGAGAAAGAAGACCTGCAACTTCCCCACATAGTAAAGTCAGAGTATAATTCATCATATCACCAACAACGCTTATTTTAGCAAGCCTGATATATTTTTTTTATATCAGAGGCAGAGAAAAGAGACATAGACCAGCTAATACATAGGAATTCAAGACAAAACATTTATATGTGACTTTTCACATGAATAATCTCTGAAATTGTGATAAATCAACAGTATGTCAGTGAGATAAACATGCAATTTGAGTTTGACTACCCAAACAACAGTAGTGATTTACAATAAGCAGCTACAAACGTTACAATGTGGCACACAATGATCAATATGTTGGTCTAATAAATTATTGTAAAGAACTAATAGATCATAATGCTGAAAGGATCAATAAAGAAAACCTGATTCAAGGGCCTTTTTGTTGATCCAGCCAACTGGACAAATCTCACAGATACAGCGTTCAGGTGAGTAAAGTTGTACATCCATACATCTGCTGGCTTAATACTAAGGAATTATTCCTCGTTCAACAATGAAACCGTTATTATTATCATCATCTTATTGAAATTAGAATTATTCCTGGAGACCTCGTCTCCTAAAAGCGTCCTGGAGCTCATCTGTTAAAAACAAAACCAAAGTAAAAAAAACACAGATATCAGAAGCAGGAAATGTTGCTTTGGTTTTAAAGTAAAATATTTAGAGTGAAACAATGGCTAAAAAGATGTGTTCTTACTTATGTCAACACTAAGCTCACGCCTGGAGCATTTCTCAGGCAAGCCTGACAAACTGTTGCTTCGGGAAGGTGTTTTACTGTAGCCAGGAGGTACCAAAGCTTTTCTTTCACCATCTACATCAAAGCAGAACACATTATAATGGTTTTCTTTGAGATCAATGGTAACAAAATCAAAAGATCCAGCATAACACTGGGACAGTGATGACAGCGCTGGAATGTTCATTTGGACCAAATGCCACGTCAAACTTGCTCAGACAAAATGTATAAAGCAGTTCATCATTGCAACATCTCTCCCCACATGGTCTCTGATGACAAGATGTCACTATATCAGGCCGGACAACCCAACTCCCAAAAACAATTCATATTGAACACACCTGAATTAGTATTTAGGTCTACGGGCATCGAAATCTGATGCGGCAAACACCGCCCTGCTAAAACAAAAGGCCATCATCAGAATGATATCTGGAAGTCTCTCTTATGCCCACCAATGTAGCATTTTTTTATATTATTACAATTTAACATTTCTATTTTAAAATATAATTTATTCTTGTGATGGACTAATTTGGTGTTCAAGAAACATTTATCAATAATGAGAAGTTGTTTCCCATTATTTTTGTGGATCTTTTTTTATTTTTTTATTCTTTGATGAACAAAAAGTTCTAAAGAACAGCATTTATGTCAAATATATATTTTTTATAACAGAAAACCTTTACTATCACTTTTGCTCAATTGAATGCATCCTTGCTGAATAAAAGTATTGACTTTTATTAAAAAACCTTACTGACCCTAGACATTTAAACGGCATTTAAAATGACATATTGTACATTGCACAACAAAAAGGCAACTATTAAAATGGAAAATTGGAATGTTTATTCGTGTCACCTGGAGGACGTGGTAGGGGAAGACTTCTCGTACATCTGTCCTGAGCCTCCTCATACTCTCCAGTATCTGAAAAACGTACTCAACAGGATCAACAACATGCTTTAGAAACACAATTTGAAACAATGAGTTTAAGTAAATCAACTGCAAAACACTGAAGAAAGCTAAAAAACTGCAAAACACTCAGTGTACAAGGACTCACCTGAACAATTGAGGTATTCGTTTTCATGCGTGTATGATTCTGAATTGGGACTGAGATTCCTTGCGCCTAAACATACAAATCAAAATGTATTTCTTTTTCTATTACATTTCATGTTTTCTAAAAGTAGAGCTGTCAGTTGAAGTTAGACATTCATTAAACCCAATTCAACATGTTTTACAATTTGTATGTGTGCTTTAAGATGATGCTAAAGATGTATTACCTGGTTTGGGGGGAGGCACCGGAGGAGTAGGCGAAGGGACATTTCTGAGACAATGTTCACTTATCTCACCATTTTCTTCATTGGGCTTAACAATTACTGAGGGAGAAAAAAAAACAAGTATAGTACAGATCAGGCCTATTGAACTAGCTTATGTGAGGTTGCCAGTTATTTCTCCCAGACTGCTTTCTTTGTGGTAAAATAAAGTAATATATTATTATTTGCTGTAAAACTCGATTGCCTCCCCTGCTCTGTGGAGAATGTGTGTCTCAAGTGTCAATCAATACAAACAATGCTAGCTGTCCTTAAGTCAGAATCAGAGAGAAGGAAAACGACCAGTTTCAACTAGAATAGAATGAAATGAATGGAATGATTAGTTCACATTACAGAACGAGCTAGGCCTAGTTCTCAACCAGACGATTTGCATAGTTTCGGCTCTGGCATCAGTGTGATTTACTGTGTTATGGACCAATTTTGAAAGCACTTTTTGGATGATTTTTTTGTTTTTTGTTTGATCTCATTTTAACGTTATTTATTTATTTATTTTCCTGCTGGGTGGTTTCTCATGAAAAAAAAAAAAGAAGTCTTAAAACGTGATGAAGA